GGCCGACCGTACGCAGTAGCCCCCCCCCCCCCCCCCCCGTCTGGCTTGGCAGTCGCAGCCGTCGACCATGGAGATGATCGATGACAAAGAAAGCCAGCCGTCCGATTTAGCATAATGCCGCCCTGCTCACCGGCCATGCAGCAACCCTAGCGATGCTCCTGCGCAATTTCACTCCCGCGGTCTTGGAACCAGCCCGATCCAAGCCGACAGCTCGAGGTGGCAAACCACAAACCCAGAAACAGCTCTCTACCCAGGTGGGCAGTCGTGGGGGCAAGAGGCAGCAGGCGGAGGCGATCCGGAAGTCCTCCTAGCCCCCTCAGAGCAGCGGCGGATTTCCCGCTAGAGAAACCCGCGCCGAAATGGGGCCTCCTCGGTACCTGCAGGGCTTCTGTCAGGGTCTCGGCAGGCCGTGCTGCTGTTAGACATGCAGGACCAGCCCTCTCGTCCTCCATCTCGCTCGCTCGCTCGTCTTTGCCCGACGAAATTTCCCTTCGGCTCCCAAGCGGGATCGTTGCTCTCGCTTCTGCAGGAATCGTCAATCGCTTGCGCAAAGGCCCATGTCTTCTCGAAGCGATGCGTACCATTCCGGGCGGCCGACGATCCAGGCCCTCCCTCCTCTGCCTAACGGGTCCTTTCGCTTGACGAAAAGCGTACTGTATAAAATCCGATTTCCCTTGCCTGCCTACCCTACCCGCTCTATAATCGTCCTTCCCGTCTCAGTCATCACATGGATGCCCGCCAACCCACCCACCCCATCCTCTCCCGGCTCTGTTGTCATGCGGCCAACGAACCCGCGCCGCGCCCCCCAAAGGACGCGCATCCAAATGAAGCTAGATGTCTTGGGCGTACTGACCTTCCCACTTGGTAGCGTACGCGGCCGAGCAATATATATTCCGCCCATGCCCCGTGATGACCTGGCCAGCCTTGTCGTCTCGGTCTGCATTAAACGAGGAGGAATAGAAGCATCTCGACCGACCGTCATCCAGCCAGGCAGGGACCCTTACTGGCCAGTGCCGGTCTCTCAATATGAGTCTTATTTGCGTCCGCCTCTTGGCCGCGCCTGGCGAGACCACTCATGACCTGCTTCCTACCTGGCTTAGTGTGCATGTGGGCGCGTGTTCCCTTTGCTGACCTCGCTGTGCATATATCGCATAGCGAGGGCTCGCCAACCGGGCCGAATACCTAGCTCCGGATGCTTGGTAGGTACCTACTTACCAAGATGATTAAAAAGAAACGTGGCCACCATGCACATCTCCCAATGCGTAGACACACTCGTGTATGGCAGTCACCGTCCTGGAATAGTAGTTTGCTCCCCACACACACGCGCGTGCGTGAGTGTTTGTACATGACCTAGAGAGCTTCGCCACGGCAATGGCATCTCTTAAGTAGGTGGAACGGCTCGCTCTATCTCTCTAGCATTGCTGCCAAAGCCGTCGATTCCAGCTCGAGGGAGCAAAGATCTTCAAGCCGGGGGGTCCCACAGCGCTCAATATTGAAAGAAGCAGGTTTATCTATTCCAGATATTGAGCAACTCCATACCTCAGGCCCGCACACTGGGCGCAGGCCCCATAGAAAGAATAAACACACAGAATGGCATGGCGTGGCATGGCGGGAAGTGGCCCTGTGGTGATGTGATGGAATGCACCGATCGACAGAGAGCCGACGCCATCGCGGGGTGGCCCCGAGGAGGAGCAGCCCTAGAGCCTGGCATGGTGGGCCTACCTACCTAGGTATCGAGCTGCGGTATCCCCCCAGGCCTCGTCCCTCGTCGGAAGCTCGGCCGCCGAGGCGACTCGTTCTGTCGGGCCACATGATTACCCGAGTCCCTGGAGAGCAATGAACGGGGATGTAGGTATCTGGTACATGGAGGGGGGCTCCCTTCCACCTCCAAGCACAACAGTGCTGCAAGCCGCCCTTCTTGCTGTCACCAAGGTCCTCGTTTAAGCACCAGGCAGGATTCAGTAAAGACCAAGCTTTCGTTCCTAAAAGACAAACATGGTCTGCGCCTGGAAATCACCTCGTCCTGCGAGTCCTGGAGCCCACGCGCCCTGCCTGGTTTCTTTTGTCATCGCAAGCAAGGTCGCGGAGCCCATCTCCTGATTTCTCCTTTGGGTCTCGACCCTTTTTTTTTTCTCTTACCTCTTACCTCTTATCTCTTCTCCTCCTACTCCTCCCTCCTACTCCCCCGCGTCTGCTTTCCCCACCCTCCCCGCACCCGGATAGGGGGAGGAGAGGATGGCAGGAGGGTGATGTGATGTGGGCTGCGCGACGCGGCGCGTAGAAGGGTGGGTTGGATCCGACCAAGCTTGCCTCGAGCTCGGCGCATTATCCGGTCCACTGCCGTGATTTGTACCGTCCTGCAGCTTGTTGCTGCGCTAGCTCCCCCCTCGGTTCCGGCCATGTTCTCCCACCCTTTTCCAGTAATCACGTGGGACGGCGCGCACGTTTTCTCGCCACCAAGCGATATTGTAGGGCATGGATGAGAAATTGCGAGGGACGCGATGTGGTTGCGGATTGCTCGCTTGGCTGGTGGATAGAACATATGTGGCGGACTTTAATTTAGCGACTTTCTTGTCAAAGCTATTATAGGCTTTCTATATGCTTGGGACCTGTGCGGGTATAATAATACAAGTTACAAATCCATAGTCACGCTCGATGCAGCCAAGATCACCCCTATCACCTAGAGACATCATCGTATCCAAGTAGAGCCCATGTCGTCACGTCAGAGAGCGCGATCGAGATCACTCATCAAAAAGAACGGTGGTCACGCCCACGTCAAGGCTGGCGCTGCCGACAAAGCGCTGCAGGATGCCGGTCCGAACGTCTCGCTCGATGATCACGACCCGGCCGTCGGCCTGAAGACCCACCGCAAGCCTGTCCCCGGCCTTGTTGATAGAGAATTGCCTCGGTATCAAGCCGCCCGCCGGGAAGGTCTGCGCCAGGGCGAGCGCGCCCGTGGCCGGGTCGACGGTGAAGCTGGAGATGGTGTCCGACGGGATCGACGCGGCCGAGCCGTCAAAGCTGGGGATGGTGAAGGACTTGTCGGACCGACTGGAGACGAGCAGGAAGCGGCTGTCGGGCTGGAGGGGGGGTGGTTGTGGATCGGGTTAGTACAATCGGTACGCCGCTGTTGCATTGCCATGCTGGGTAGTCTACTAGTGACCATGATTGCACAATGACTGTAGTATTTCGTGACAAACTTGCCGGGATCAAGGATACGGGAGCGTTGCATAGGAGGGGAAAATAGGCGTGGGATGCCTTGGGCGGCTATTATCACTTACCGACAGATGGATCTCAGCTGCGGTGCTCTGGGGGACAGCCCTATCGCCGAACGAGTTGGTCACGAAGACCTTGTCGAACCCGAGAGAACAGGCAGCGTACTTCACGCGATAGGCCGTGATGCTGTTGTCGAGCTCTCCGACGAGGTACATGAAGGTCTTGCCGTCGTCGGTGTTGAGGAACACGAGGTGCCTCGGCCCGCTCCCAGGGGCGGCGACCAGAGGAGAGGTCTCGGTCAAGCCAAGGTTGGACGGGTCGACGCGCATGACGCGGACCAGGTCAGATCCAAGATCCGGCACCAGGACGAACTTTCCCGTCGGGTCGACCGTGGCCTCGTGAGGATGAGGGGCATCCTGGCGGGTCGTGTTGGGCCCCAGAGGCTCACCCCACGTCCTGGACTGCAACTGTCCGAGGTCCGACACGGAGAAGGAGCTCAGTGAGGACCCGGTGCTGCAAGACGCATCGTGGCACGGTCAGCCTCCGTTCCAATCGTGCAGATTCCAAACGTGGCATATCTCTCAGCCTAGCCAGGAGCGAGCAAGGAACAAAGGAGAAGCACTAGCCCCCGCGTCTTGCCGGCGAGGCAGGGTATATAGCAAGTGATATTACACTAGCGTCCAGCCATAGCATGCAGCTTAAGCTTCCAAAGGTTGCAATATTGGAAGCCCCCGGCAGGTGCGTAGACAAACAGGAGAAAGCCACGCCGTTGAGCTCCGAGGCATGTGTGACCCAAAGAGAGCAAGAAGGACGAATGTAACTCACTAGTGAGCGACAGCCAGGCCTCGACCGCCGTCTCCAAAAAGGACAGAGCTGACGGGCCCGCCGATGGTGTCGACCTTGTGCAGCAGCTCCAGGGAGCCCGTGCCGGAGGTCCTGAAGGCGGCCAGGGACCCGTTGCGCGTGGCCAGGCCCTCGCCGGTGCAGTAGAGGACCGAGTTGGCGCGGTCCAGCGTCAGCCAGGCCGGGTCCGGCGAGCAGTCCCGCGTCGACGAGAGCACGTCGAGGCCGGCGGCAGTCAGGCCGAGCGTGGTCACGCTGCCGCCGTATGAGGACGCGTACAGGAGGGACGAGGCGGCCACCGCGGGCTGGGCGGCCGAGAGGGCGAGAACCCCTGCCGCCGCGAGCGTGGAGGTGGATGCGGGCAGCATGTCGTCGGTGGTGGTGGTGGTACTGTGTAGCGTGGCGGCTATGGAGACGTACAGGTCTTGGCCGGCGTCAAGGATCACGCGCCGGGGCAGCACAAGGAGGAGGAGGAGGAGGAAGAGACAGGCGAGGAGGGCATGGATACGGAGCAGCAGCAGCAGAAGCAGCGGACGCGCCGGCGCGGCCGAGTCAAGGGTTTTGAGGAGGCGCGGCTCGCGCTTCAATCCGCCCCGTTCAGCATCCATCCTGACGTCTGCGGAGCAACACCCGCGATCGATACCCAAGACGGCAGGTCTTGATGCTGATTTGGTGGCATTACTCATGGCATGTGGAGTACAATTGGGGACGGTCGAGCAAAGGGACGGAGTGGACGAGCGGAAACGAGGCACAAACGACGGTCAACAAAAAAGGACAGAGAAAAGGTTACCGTGAGCGACTGGAAATGGCCGTGCTCTATTGGTTCTCTTGGCGACCTATCCCCCGCCAAGTAGACCTACGAATTGGATCTCAATTGCTTTATCCCAGGCGCCCATTGGTGCGTCTACTCCAAGACTCTACTATTCTCTGGACTCCATAAACATACCAGGTCCACGCGGGTAAAGGCCTGGGTTGTTCTCCCAGCAGAGCGCCAGCAATCGCTTCGAAAGCCTGGGGAAGTGAGCTTGTTTGAATGACAGGGGCAGGGATCAGGGCTCCCACCTGCCTGGAAGACCGAAAGGCGCTGCGGGGAAGTGTGGGGAGCTTCTTCTCGCCCCGGGGCAATGCTCAACCCCGATATCCGCCTTTCCACAGGCTGCCTGACGCGATGGATATGGCCACCGTCCAACGACATGAAAATGCTCTGGAACAAAAAACCGAGTCTTAAGCCGAGAGGATCATGATCCAATGTCAAGCGGCTCAGCTCAAGCTCTCCTTCCCCGCACTCTCAGACACGAGAGCTTCCTCCAGCTGACCATCCCCATCCAATGCCAGGGCCGTGTCACATCGTGAGCACCTAAAAGGAAACAGAAGCGAAGGAAGGTATAGTCTACCAGATTTCGCCCGCTATATGTTCCATCTAGGCAACCCTGCACATGGACGGGCTCGCGTCTGAGACACCAGACAAGCCAGCAGCCCCCAGGATTCCCTCCCAGCCTCCACCGCAACCCTCGCGTATCCCTGGACTGGCCTGCCCACTTAACCGAAATGCACGTTGGGTGATAACCCTCTCGTCGCCGGTCACTCACTCCTCTGGCCCATCCCCGCATCGTTTTCTTGGGACGAAGCCTTGTATGCAGCACGCGCTAGCCGCTATGGGACCAAGGGTCGCTTTCTCTGCCGTCCTCGCAGCACACCATCCGGCGGCAGTTTGGTTTCCCACACACACTGTTTTGACGGGGGTGTCTGCCCTCGGTCTTTTAGTAGCACACAAGGGTTCTTTTGAGCCAAGGCATACGATACGCATGTACCGGCTTGGTTTGCATGTGTACCTCGGTCATGGTGTGTTGCATCGCTGTTCTGACGGCCCCCGAGTCTTTTTGCTGGTGATTTATAGGCCAAGTGCTGCTGGCTCCTTTTGAGTTGTGTCTTTTGCTATGTGGCTGGCGCTGTCTGCAATATTTTCGGCGAGCCTCGCGTGCAAGGCTGGAACTATCGAAATATAAATACTACCGTATGGCGTAACCGCCAACACGACTGTTGGCTCACGTGCTCCCCGTATCTCGCCACTCCACCCCAAGGACATGCACACAGACTTGGAGCACCGTATCCTTGGTACTCTCCTCAGTCTGGTTGCTAACTCTCTTCTCGCTCGATCTAATGATGTGGTTTGCGAGACAAATCATCGACTTGCAGTTAGCAACGCAACAATGCCTTTTTTGTGATGAAAGCAGGAGCAGATTTGGGGCGACGGTGTATGAAAAACGCACTCCCAGACGATCTTGGTGAATCTTGCACCCTCCCCCACGTTCTTGGTCTCGATGGTCACCTGAGCGAAGGGGTAGCCGGTCCGGCTCCGAACAAAATGAAGGACGGACACGGAAACGAGGCCTTCTCTGTTGCCAATAGGGCTGGGCGGCGAGACATTGCCGTCCTCGGCCCAGACCATCCACTTGTCGTGCATCGATTCCGGCTGGAAGCCAGAGAGGAGGCGGTCAAGCGCGGGGCCGAGCGGCACCCGAACGTCCCACCCAGACGTGACCGGTTTCTCGAACCCGGCGCGCTCTCCCGGCGGCGGCTCCACTCGTGGGCGTGGCGCGTCCAACACCGGGGCCTGCTGTACGGCTTGCTGCCGTGATAGAAGCCTCGAGCGGGCTAATCCTGGCAGACGCCAGTGACGAGGCATTCCGTACAGGGGATTTATTGAAGGGGACTGCGGGGATGGAACACGAAGATTATAGGCGCTGCCTGGCTAAGATATGTTGTTAGAATAGGGGAGTGGTTGTGTTGGCACTCATCACTTGCACTCCCAGTCCATGTACATTTTCTGGTTTTGAGCTCAGCCGCAGCTGTAAATGGATCACATGATTAATCTTGGTGTTTTTTTTTTGGGCGGCGTCAAAGGATCGTGTCAGCCGTTGGTGCTTTGGCGTCCTCCGAAGCTATGTATGAAAGCAGTGGTTGGAATATGCGGCTATGTTCCAGGCTAGTGATGTACCTAGGGAGGTAAGACAGCCTGAGCGGTTTCGCAGTCTGCCGACTCACGCCTGGACCGGAGAGCGTGAGAACCGAAGCTAGGACCAGCAGGGGACTCAAAAGGGCGGGAAGTAAATAGAAACATTGAGGATACAAGCATCAAGGATTCCTCCGTCGATATGTTGCTGGCATTAGGTTTCTTGTGTGAAATGCAAGCGTTTCTGGCGAGTACCACCACAAATCAGGAATATCCTGATTGACATTGAGTCCGAAAAGACTTTCCTGTGGATAGCTGGGTCGACGGTCTAATAAAAACCCAAAAACAAAGGCCGTTTGTTGCCAGGGCTGTTCGAGACGGATGAAGCATTTACATTCTTGTCGATCTCAAGATTTGTCCTCACCCCAGCCGCTACCTAGTAGCGTAAGGCAGCCTGCATCCCTCCTAGATATTTGGGCAATAGGGGGTCCTGCTAGGGCCACCATCCTCAAAACGCTCCAAATCCGAGCGGGATTCGCACATTAATAGTCCATCACGTGCCAGGAACGTGGCCTCATCTTAGGGCTGAGAGACCTGGTGGTTCCCTGGCCGACCCTATCAATTCCCGGCCGAAGTCCCAGCAGGACTCCTCGGCCTTGTTCCGTTACGGCGGGCCCACCCCGCGCGACACCCACCCAACCCGCTCTAGGCAGCAGCGAAAGTCCACAAGCCCGGGGCACAAGCCCACAGCACTGAGTGGCCGCTCGGTCAGGGGCACCGCAGAACCGAGCACACTCAACATATATGTTCTTAAGGTGGCTGGCAGACTTTGTTACCTCTAGACAAGAGGTATTGATAGCTCATATAGCCCGTTCAAACGAGAAAAAAAAAAGCGTGTGCAGAGCTGAAATAGCACAGGCTTGTAGCTGTCAACCGCTATCAAGCCCATTGCTACAGAGTTGCATTGACCCACCGTCAGGCGGGTAAACACCGACTTCAAAGCCCGAGATAGCCCAATGCGGATCGTGCTCCAGCTGCCCGGTGCCCAGGCCGCCCCATTGGATCAATCTGACGTGCACTCGACTACGGTATTCCCGTGCTTGCGCCTCGAGCACTTCCAGCTCGTCCAGCTGAGGCAACCCGACAATGAGGGCCAGTGTTGGGGGAAGTCGCGCCTCATTGCGTCAATGAGAGGCGCCACTGCAAACGCGCGGCACTGAAATTGACTAGAATTGACCCATCAACCGCGACAGGAGGAAGGGGCCACCCACCATGGCGTGCTAGGCATGCTGCACCTAGGCGCAAGCGAGCATCGACAGCGTCCCGACCCAACAGTCGATTGGGTCGCTCGCTTTTTGGTTACCTCGAACCCGCGGGTATGCATCCTCCAATCTTGCGCTTGCTCTGGCCACGCCGGAAAGTTCGGCTTCCTCAAATACCTTACTTGACATGGAGCCCACGTTGGCCACCACAACAAGGGGCTGTGACGGTGCAGCAGGTACTTGTCCTTCTTCCTCATCTCTATCGCTCGCTGACACGGGGACACGCAGGCCTGATATGGAGATCTCGAGCAAGGATTCGAGGCTGGCATCCGGCGATGGTCGCAACCATGCGCGGCATGCGACCCAAAAAGGCCGTTTTTCATAATAACCTCTCGCATCTCACACAATCCTCGCGCCACCCTGGAACCTGCTCTCTTCCATTCCCAAGTGGGTTATTGGGGCCCTTCTGAAGACAGCCAAGGGGCCGCGGCCTTGCTGGGTGCTCCCACGTTCCTCGACTAGCCTGGCGGGGTGCGTTTGCATTTTGCAATCGTCCTCTCTGTTCCTGTCCTGTTTTGGCCCGTGTCGGCACTGTAGTCTGGCTCGCTCTCTCGCCCTTGTTTGTCTCCCGAATGTTACGCACCCTGAACCGCACTAGATAGCAGGCATAAGCGAAACTGCACTGCCCAGCTCCACGCTACTCGCCATGCAGGCGAGCATCCTCGGGGGTTCAGTCGGCCCCAAGCCCTCGCGCCCACTATATCCAGCACCGCCAGCCGCCAGTGTCTGCTCGCTGCACCGAGTTGATTCCTTGCTTGCACACCTGCGCATTGCTACAGTGAGTGCCCTGCATGACCAGGGCAAGGCCATCCTGCGAGGCGACCCGTCACACCACAAAGCCAAGTCTGCTTTCCGAGGTGCGTCTGGCTTCCCCTCTGTGCTCTTCTCATCCACTCCCACCCCGGATCTCTTCCCGCCCCATAGCCTGCCTGACGCCCCGTCGGCTTGTCGCGCGCTGCCGGTGTAGCTGCACACCCCAACCACCCCTCGACTCGCTCTGACAAACCCGCCAGTCCAGCGGCAGCCCACCTACCCGCACCCGAGAAACCACCAGTGGCGATAGTGACCTTCCTAAGACACGTCACATACTTTGTGCGCGCGTTACCAGACCTGCCAGCGCCACTTGCTCTCCGTTGTTTCTTTTAGCCCCATTTCCTAAGTCTATCTCTAGCCGTACCAAGACTTCTCCTTGTGGCACAACCTCGGGGCCTTTCCCCTTCCCCGCCCTCGGCGGCTGAGACTCTGGGGTGCATCCTGCTGCTACCTGCCTAGCTTCTGCCTTACCATCTCCACGCTTTATGAGTGATTGCCCACCTAGGTACCTATCTTACCTGTCTCGGGGCGCCTATAGTGCCACTGAATCAGGCACAGCGAACGAGTCCGGCTCGTGGAAGCGGATCTGCCCGGAACCAGGCCAATACAGCCGGCTGTTCTATATCGATCCGGATCGGGGTCGACGGAACAGCCTCGTAACGACAGGCTCGTCGGAACAACCTGAAGAAAGTCGGGCCGCAGCACACAAGGTGCTGATCATGAATTACACAAGAAGACGTGGGTACCTTGAACGGTCTCTTCTGTCAAACATCCCCTATCCCAGAAGTTATAACTGCCCGCATACTGCCCTTTGACTGCTTCGCTCAGTATAGACTGGCCAGGTTTCCTCCAAGACGCAAATATCTTTGTGGCACTCGTGCCAACGAGAGAGAAAAAGCGACAGGATTTGACCGTTTCGTTATACTCAATACGCTGCGCCCTCTTTTCCTTTTGAGTCTCGAACGCTCTTGTGGAGGAACCCTTGGACTGTGGTTCATGCCTCCTCTCCTGCCAGCCCTCTGTCCTACTCATACATCTGCAATACACCGGCTCGGCTCTGTGGCTTGCTGACCGGATCGTGCTCGCTTCCGCGGACAGGAGCCTTGCTGGCCTGCGACTTTTGTCGGTACGTGCCACAACGGCTTCTAATACCCGCCTAGATGGGTACTGACAGCCGCCACATTTGGTTATAGGCATCGCAAGCGGAGGTAGGTTGAAGCTCCTGCCTCTCTAGCCAAGCTTGGAAAGGGCAATCGATAAAGCCAAGTTGCTGACACAGCGAAGATGTGACGGCGAACGGCCCTGTTCGACATGCCGCGAGTCTGGCGCAGACTGCCGCTACAAGGACCTGCCAGTCGAACGGTGAGTAAGAGAAGTAGGGCCATGCGTGGCTTGGCCGTGGGGTGAGAGCACGCGGACACGCACATCAGCGGTGGGTTGCTTATTAACGCCCAACCCCTGGCCTGCCCGCCTGCAGTGTCGAACTTCCCTCCACGTCAGCCACAGGTTCCGACCTGGTGCTCGAGCGTCTTATGCGTATCGAGGGGCTCCTCGAGGAGCATGGCCAGCGACTGAACGAGCTAGCACAGGTTCATCAGGGTGGCGGCGTGCCTGCCCCCTTCCAGCCAAATCTGTTCTCGCTGCCGCCCTCGTACTCGCACCCACCTCCAGAGCAGCTGTCGGGACAGCAACACCAGAATTTACAAGGCGTCCTACACCGCAATGAGTCGGGCCGAGCGCCGCTTGCGGATCCCCACTTGGAGAATACCCAGTTCCTGATCCCGACAGATCACTTCACCTCGGCCAGCTCGCTCTTCGCGCTGCCCCGGGTGCGGAACATGGTGGGCGACTACCCCAAGAACTACTTTCATGGCATCGAGGACGCCCTGCCACTGCCGCAACAGCTCGACTGCCTTCAAGTCTCCGACATCCAGTGGCCGTCGCTCGAGCGCCTGGGGCCTCAGGGTCTCGACGCCCTGGCGAAAGCCTACTTCGCGTGCGCGCATCCCAACTACCCGCTCTTCACCGAGCACGACTATGCCAGGTGGCGTGCCTACGTCTTTGAGAACGGCCTTGCCGAGACGCCAGAGACGGCCATATGTCTCACCGTCTGGGCCCTCGGTGCCGTGGTGCCGGGTGACCAGCCCGTGCCTCTACCACCCGCCCTCCAGGCTGAGAAGGATCAACTCGGCATGACCTTCTTCCAGCCCGCCCTCCGTATTATACTGCGCTGGTCTGTCTGGGGATTCAAGCCCAACATGGCAGTCTGCCAGGCTCTGCTCCTGGCAGCATCCTACTTTGCTCATCTCGGCCGGCCCCTGCACAGCTGGAAGATGGTGTACTTTGCGTCCCTCAAGTTTATGTTTTTGTTTGACAAGTAAGTCTCGCCTCTACTCATGTCTGGCTTCTCTACTAAAACCTTTCTCGTTGGAACTCGGGCATTTCCCTCCGTCTTCAGGTCATTTGCGTGCTGTCTCTACCCCGGATTCTTATCCCTTGATATCCTTCTCCTGTCATCTGCGCCTATCCGACCCTGCTGCGCTCCATTTGCTCCGCGCATTTGACTCACCATCATTTGACTCATCATCTTATAGACAAAGACGATCAGAGGGATATCTTGTCCCCCAAGATAATAACCACCTGCGTGTTTTCTGGTCATGCTTCATGATAGAATGGTAGGTACTTCTCTCAAGCATTGACGTACCCAATCAAGGTTCTGTTAGCCTGACTAATATCCGGTTGGTTTTGAACAGTGACCGGGCAGCTGAACTCGACGTGCCTCGAAGCGGTATAGAGCCCATGGCGGATCGAATGCAGTTGGCCCAGAGTCTAACTCCTGGGGAGCACGAGGAGATGATCTACTTTGTTGCGGAAACGGCTATCAGGAGACTGCTCAACCGCGTGCATAGCTCACTGTACTCATCCGAGAACTCGGATCTCGTCTCGTTTACTGATCTAGCGCCCAGGCCTGGAAGCATCAGCTTGGGCAAGCTCATCAACGTCAGCGCAGAGCTCAACCGGCAGTTGGAGGAGTGGTACATGTCCATCCCCGAGAGCCTACGTCCGCCACTCGGGACAGACCATATCGCCAATGACCGTGGCAAGGTGCTGCGGCTGCGTTTCTACGCCGCCCGTCACATCATACATCGACCTTTTATTCTCTACGCGGCCTTGAGGCAGCAGCAGGCTGTGAGCAGGGCAACCTCGGTCGGATCCAGCCCTGTCTCGCCCCATCTTTCCACGGGGACCGTCAGTTCGGCAGCCGCCGTGGCCCACGCCGCATCGACCGCCGCCGCCTCAGCCGCGGCGAACTCTGCGGCAGCCTCGGCCGCCGCGGCAACAGCGGCGGCGATTGCAGCAGCAGCGCAGCAGCCGGTCGACATACCGCAGATCGCGCTAGACAAATGCGAGGTCTGCATATCGACGTGCCAGACGTACCTCCGCAATTCGGCCGAGATGCTGGACAAGCGGTCGCCCTACCTGTGGACCTTCTCGCAGACGTCGATGGCCTCGCTCCTCGTGCTGGTCGCGGGCGACAACATCCCGCAGCTGCGCCACCTCACCACGGATCTCAAGGAGCTCAAGGAGCTGCTCCTGTCCAAGCTCCGCCTGTGGGCCACTCCCGGCTCGAGTTTCGAGGCCGAGGTCCGGATCCTGGAGAGGGTGACGACGAGAGAGAGGATGTAGTCTGCACCTCGCGGTGGATGTTTCGGCCAGGTTAAAAAAAAGTGTTTTCACGTTCCGTCTTTGGCGGTATGCAGCCGAGTATTTACATGAGCGGCTTGCCATTTGGTGCAGCTTATGGGTTGCGGGCTGCCTCGGCATCATGTGTTGGGTTGGTTGAATATTGAACATAAACGAAGGGTTCCGGTCTCTCGGCATGATGGATATGGATGGATGATCAAGACTAATCATAATACTCGGGCCTCGAAAGTATAAGAATGGATATTGCCATGATCTTGTCTTGGTGACGCGCTTCGTTGCCACCTGTCAGATGGTTGAGTGTTTTCCTGTGAGCTGACGAAACGATGGGCGGACAGTCTTGGTATACCCCATTCCTAGAGTTTTTGCGTTTTGAAGCAGTCAAATTAGCCTGGATCTATCCTTCTTGGCGTAGCGCTCTGAACTATTCTGTGTTATCATCCGACTCACATCTAAACGGATACATGTCATATTCCTCGTAACTTGGAAAGAAAAAAACAATAAAAATATCCCAATAGATGAGACGTCCCTGCTCATAACTCCCGGAATGCAAACCCCTCTCTGCTAGCCCACGCAACCACCCACGCACCCTCAGGGAGTCTCGGCCGTGCTGCCCTTGTGGCCGTGGCCCCTGCCAAATAGCCTCCTGAGCCCGCCAGACTTGGGCGTCTTGGGCGGCCTCGGGTACCCGTCCATCGACATCTTGGGCGCCGAGGCGCCGTGCTGCTGCTGTTGCTGCTGCTCCGGGGGCAGCGGCTCCAGGGGCGGCGGCGGTGGCAGCCCCTTGTTGCTGCTGCCCCTCGACCGGCTGCGGAACCTCGACTGGGGCGGGGGGTGGCCGCCGTGGTCGCGGCCGACGAGGACCGCGCCGGCGATCGGTCCTCGCCGTCCGAGTCGATGTCGAGGCCGCCAAACTGCTGCCGCAGCCTCTGCCTCTCGCGCTCGCGGTGGTGCTCGTCGACGCTGCGGCCGGCGCCGGCGCCGTTGAACCGCGGCTGCGGGCGCTGGCGTGGTGTTGTGTCGGTCTGCGATGGATAGGGCTGCTGTTGCTGCTGCTGCTGCTCCTGTTCCCGCCTCCTGGCTTCTAGGGCTCGGTTGTATTCCGCCTCCAGCCCGCCCTCTTCCTCCTCCTCCTCCTCCTCCTCCTCCTCCTCATCCCCATCAACAAATCCACCAACGCTCTCACCCCTGCCGCGCCCTCGGCCGTTCCCGCCATACTCCCAGGGGCGCTCCTCGTCACCGTTGGCGACGACGTACCACCTGATGTCCTCGCCGCGCTGCAGCTGGTCGCGTAGCTTCTCGAGCCAGCCAGCCTTGCGCTGCTCCTTGGCGGAGCGCTTCCGGCCCGTCTCGTCCGAGTGCGGCCCCGCCATCGCCGGCGGCAGCAGCAGCAGCAGCGGCGGCGGCTCTACTGATGCTGATGCTGATGCTGCTGCTGTTGCTGTTGCTGTTTTTACCGCCGCGCCGCCTTTGCTGCTGGCGCGCAGCCGCTCCTCGTACCGCGTCATCTCGTCCACGATGGAGACGGACAGGTCGATGCGCACGACGTAGTCGGCCACGTAGGCGTAGGGGCGCGACACCTCGTCCAGGCGGGCCGGGTCATACTCCTCCAGCAGGCGCACGGCGGACCAGGCGTCCTGGCCCATGACGTCGTCGGTGGCGGTGGTGGGCGCCGCCGTCGTGACGGTGGTTGTGCTGCCGCCGCCGCCGGCCGCGGTGAAGGCCGTCGACAGCGAGGATGACCGTCGGTGGGGCTGCCCGGCCATCAACGGCCTGTTGCCGGGGTCGATCCGGGGTAGGAAGTCGAATATGTTGTAAAAGGAGTTCAGCAGGGCGGTGGCGGACCGGCGGCCGATGATCCACTCGGGGGCGGCGTCGTCGAGGTCCTGCACCACCACAAAGACCCGGATCGACTGCCAGTGCCACCGGAACCCATGGCACAGGTAGGCCGGCATCCCCTGATGCTTTGTTCTGTGTTCCTTCCTGGGTCTCTTTTGGACGGCTGGCGGATGCGCCGCCTGGGAGGGTAGAGGGCTGAGGAATGTTGGTAGCGATGAGAAGAGCGGAGGAAGCCGCCCAAGAAGGGCAATCAAATAGCGCAACACACGCTGGTTCTTCTCTCCCCCTTTTTTTCCCCCACGGTTTCGTTCGGCAATGCTCTAGATGGCAGCCAACATCTCTCCCTTGCTTCAACTCCAGCCTGGTCTCCCCTAAAGACGTCGCATTCCAAGGCTGCGCACGATATGCAGGGGGCGGAACGTGGCAGCTGCAGAAACGCTGGAGCTTGATGGGGGTGAAAATAAAAATGGGCCGAGGCTGGTGTCAATCAATTGCACGTCCACCGACGGGCAGGTGTGGGAAGCTGAGCTGTAGTGGGTATCTGGGCGGAAATAAGGAATGCATGTGCTAGGGGGATGGAAGCCAAAGAAGCACGGGGGGAAAAGAGGGAAAGGGGGTGAGACAGAGTGGAAGCAGGCAGCCTGCGTCTAATTCAACCAGGGACTTTTCGATCAAGGACGGAAATTGATTGATGTGACTGATGGTTTGGCTGTCAATGGCAGCAGCGGCGGCAGCAGCGCTTTGGCCGGGCTACGCACGGGCGTCTTGGTGGCTGCCGGCGGGGTACCTGAATGCTAAAACGGAAGGCAGCTCGCCGTCAATGGGAGATGCTTCTTGTTCCCACAGTGCATGGGGCGTGAGATGGACCGGGCCGTCCAAGATATAACAAAACAATGCCCACCTCCCAGAAAGAAAAAGAAAGAAAAACAAAAAACCCCCCCAAATGCTAGTGCAATAGATGACCCGACAGTGCTGACGAGATCCAAGTGGCTGACTAAGCCTAGGTGAGCTGCATGATGTGAGCATTCAAAGACCCTGACACGTGTATGCTGTGATCTCTACGGCTTGGGGGAGGAGCATCCATCACAACCATCACAAAATGACTTCATGTTGTCAGCTTCAGGCCCGCATATATCGTGATATCGTGGTACCTCTTGTGTTTTTATTTGAACGCGTAAATCATAAACGGGTCATGATCAAAAAAACCACACAGTAGCCGCCATCAGAACAAGACCCCGCTCGGGCTCCCAGCCAAGGCCGCGCCGCCGTCGTCAAAATCCATATCAGGAAACATGTCGTCCATCTGCGAGTTGGTGAAGCTGGTCAGATCCAGATCCAGATCCATCCCCACCGGGAACAGTCCCTCCCCGAGACCAGAGTCGTCGCTGATGCCCTCGGCCGCCGCAGCCGCCGCCGCCGCGACAGGAGGAGGAGACTCCTGACCCGCGTCCCCCCTGATCATGGCCTTGAACTTCTCCAGCAGCACCGCGTCGTCGGCCGCCGTCGCGTCCGTCTCTAGGATCTCGCACGCCCTGGCCCTGAGCGCCTCGTCCGGGGGCAGGTCGCCCGTCGCCGACGCGCGCATGCCGGCGCGCGCGAACTCGGCGAGCCCGCTCTCGAGCTCGCGGGAGCAAAAGACGGCCGCCGCCGGCGGGTACCGCGTCGCCGCAGTGCGCAGGAACTTGTCCACCGTGCGCTGCTCCGTCTCGAACGGCTTGGCCCCCTCGTGTATCGTCAGCTGCACTTTCCCGCCCCCGTCACTCCCGCCCCCGTCGCCATCGGTGCCCAGCGGGGTCAGCGCCGTGATGGAGCGCCCCGCCCGCGGGTAGGCGTACGGCGGCGCGAACCCGGTGCCGCCCTGCTGGATGGACCAGGATTTGGTGTCGCCCAGGCCGGGCCCAGGGCTGTCTGGGAGCAGGCCATTGTCGCGCTTGAAGCGTCGCAGCCACTCGGCGTTATCTGCCGCTGTGTTGTTCCAAGGATCATCGCTACAACGGGGAAAGAGACCAATGTCAGTAGCCTGCTTTTCTGAATCATTCGGTTCCTTGTTTCTTCAACTCAAAACTTACTCCTCGTAGAGGATCCACCGAGCTTGATGCTTGATTTCCTCATCTGTAGGCACGTGGCGGTTGGGGTTGTTTGGTGATATCAAGCCCCCGACCCACCGACTCAGTTCTCTTTCCAGCCTGCGGTAGCAGTTCATGTCGTTCAGGAAGAGCTTGCCTGACCTGCTCCGACCGACACACCCGACCTTGCGGACACCCGACGAGCCGCCTGGGGCCATCACATGACAAAGCCCGAGCTGTTGCTGTGTGCCCCCGACACGTGTAGGTGACGGGCTGCCGATGAGCATCTCGGACATGGTGCAAGCAGCCGGCGGGTTCGTGGCTGCCGCAGCCTCGCCGAGCCGTTTCTTGAAGCCGGAAAGCCACACGGGGCTGTCTGCCGCCGTCTGATTCCAGCCGTCGTTGCTTCCGTATATGATGCAGCGAGCTTTCTCCTGCAAGCCCGCATCGTGCAACTGAATGCCGAGCGCCATCTGCTCCCGCGCGTATTCGGCTAGCTCTCTCTCTAGCCTGCTGTAGTTGTGGATGGTGGAGTCGAGGCTGTTGCCATCCAGCGGTCGCCGGTCTTCATCTGCCATGTCCTCGGACCTCGGTATGTGCGCCCGCTGCCGAAATGGGGCGAGCCAGGCCTTGGATCCTTGTATGAGTCTGATGAGGAGGTTGGCGATCATCTCGGAAGGGGTGCTCGTCGATTCCTCCATACGGGCCACGATCATGCATGCCTCGGCCTGGAGTTCACTATCGGTGGCGCACAACCCGAGCATCATCCTCGAGTTCACATAGTCGCGCAGCTGCCTCTCCAGCGGGCAATCGTCGAATATGTTGTCCTTGCCGTTAACCGTCAGGCGGCCCATTTGGCTGTCGGACGGCCCCCTTATGGGCCCCATCATGGCCTGGACCCTCAGGTCTGGCCGGGACATGATCAAGTCGCTCAGCCACGAGGGAACCGAGGACAGATCCTTGTACGAGAGCGCCTCTGCCCCAAATATTATGCGACAGGCTTCAAGCTGCAGCGCCTCGACGGTTGGATCTTCGTGTAGACCCTCGACCCAGTACATCAGCTCGTATTTTATCAGATCGTACGCGTTCACTGGGCTCTCCGCAGGGCCCATCGACGACATTAGCGGCAGTGGCGACAGTCTCTCCTCGTGAATCAGGTAAGGCGGGATGGCGCTCTGGACCATGTCAAGCACGGGGCCTTCGAAACCCCAGTCTCCCTTCCAGTCCGCCATGGTGTTACCCGTCTTGAAGTGCTCGGCCAGATGCTCGACCCTGATGCTCCAAGAATCCATTATGATGCCGCAGAAACCACATCGGGACCTGATCTCGGCTGTCGTTTCCTCCCAGGACGTCATGGACCAAGGCGTGAATTTGGCATTGTGAACAAGCTTCAGGTGCTGCCTCAAATGGTCTTTGCGGTAGAAGGTCCGCTCGTCCCTGCTCTTCTCCTGGCACGGCGCAAAGTTGTGCGTGTCCAGGTGCGCCTCGTCTGGGTTTGCGTCGCCACAGAACACGCACTGGATCTGCTTCGCCTCCTGGTTGAACGCTTTGGCCCCCTTGGGACAGCAGACCCAGCGCTCGAGGGAGAGGTGGAGGGACTTCTCGTGCCGACCCCAGTCGTGCTTGGTCCTGAACGTTTCGGTACAGAAAGTACACTGGAAGGTCTTGAGAGGCTGAGATAGAGGGATACGTTTGGAGCCGCTGGGGCCGGTAGCCGCCGGCCGCTTCCTCCTGCGGCGCCTGCCACGCGGCAGCGACCCCAGAGATCCGAGCGAGTTGCGCGAGCCAAACGAGAAGGCCGAAGCAAGCGACCCGCCACTGCTGCGCGACGTGCCCAGGCTGCTTGCCGACGAGGGGTGGCCCTGGGACCTCCCAGAGCCGTCGTCCGTGTACGGAGCGCTGAAGGGGCTGCCGAGCCCCGACGACACGCCAGAAGACGCCGAGATGGCCCTGGCAATATCTGTGGCAGAGGCAGGCTCGTTCTCGGGTGGAGAGACCTGCCAACGCTGCAGCGGATTCAGGTCCTCGTACGTCGTGGGCCCGCGAATGTCGAGGGGTGACGGTGTGCCCCGTCTGCGTGGTATTTCTATGCTCCCAAGAATCGAGTGGCTTCGGACATTGGGTGATGTAGAGCGGGGCTGGGTGTACTTGCTCCGGCGCCGATAGTTGGCGAGCCAGTTGCTGATCTGCAGCTTGCTCAGCCCGGTGAGGCGCTGCAGCGACTCCTTTTCGTCGTCGCTCGGGTAGGGATGTCGGCTGTGAGTCGAATACCAGTTCTTCAAGATGCGCACAGCCTCTTTAGAGAGGCGTGCCCCAACTTTTCCTGGCCCGGGGGTAGGGGGCTGAGTAGGGGGCTGGGAGGAAGATGCGGAGGTGCCGGGGTTCGGGACGGCTGGCAACGCCTCGGAGAGTGAGGACAGTGACGTTGTCGGCGGCGCCATCATATCTGGCACAGACGACGATATGCTTGTCATGGGCTGGAAGATGGCGTTGGGATGGTCTCCAGCGACCGGCCAGGGGTTCAGGGGGAAATTCTCGTTGGGAGGCCAAGCACCTTGGCCCATGTCGAAGGCCTGGCTGCAGCCAACGCGGAGGGCGACGCAACTGGTACAATAGCCCTTGTATTTACCCTCGTGGATCGTTTTGCACGAGTACCCATGCAAGCGGCACTGGAAGCACGGAGACTCGGGAAGGTCTGGCCCTTCTGGGGCCATTGTTTGGGGCCCAATGGAAGCGAGGAGGTCGTCGGCGGGGAGAGCGTTGGCCGAGTTGGCCGAGTTGGCAAAGTGCTCCAGGGCCCAGAAGGAGAAGTCGTCTCCGTTGACGTTCGAAAACAGGAGGTCCATGTCAGGGTCGCTGCCTATGTGTGGCTGGGGCCGAGGCATGTCGAGGCCAAGGCCGCCGGCCAGTGCCGGGGACCCGGCCTTGTCCCAGTCGATGAACTCGTCCATTGCAAGATCTGAGGCGGTCTCCTCGGGCACAACCGGCATAGGGCGCGGGTGGAGAGGGCGGGCTCAAGACACGCCCTTGCGGGTTGGGAGGCTGCGTCAGGCCTGAATACAGGTAAAAGATGGCAGGAAGAGGCGCGCCCTTGGATGTCAAAGAGCCGAGTGATGAAAAGTCGGAAAGACTAAGTTTGTCGACTCCCCAGGCACACGAACCAATGGGAGACGACTCCAGGGTAGTATGGAGGCAGTAGCTGATGGCAGGGGACGCCCTTCGAAGCGTTCGTCTGGAAGGGGCAGGTCAAGTATAAAGACAGACGATAGACATCACCCCCCTTGTCCACAGCCAGCGCTCCAGGACAGGACAGACGCCAACTTGTGTAAACAAAAGCAGGTCGAGGCCTGAGGATACGGAGAAATGGAAGAAGAGAAGATGATTCCTCAGGATCGAGATATAAAAAGAAAAAGAAAAGGGCGGGAACAAGAAGAAAAACACATGAATGCCCCAGGTCAACCGACAGCGAGCTGATGCCGTCCTCTCTGTCGGCTCCGAAAAAAGGAGTCACGACCTGTGGCGGGGAGAGAAGAGGAACTCAATGACACCGACAGGGGTTTGTTGTGCACGCCCTTCGAATTGACATGGACCCACACCCGCTGCGCGGCGGGCCCGACTGATTGGGATGGAGCAAAGCTGGGGGACTCAGTGAGTGGAAGGGGACGGCCAAGCGAAAAGGCGGGGGCGACAGGCATCCGCTATCCGCTGTGCATGCTATCGCTGCCTTTCGGCGACCCCAGCAGCCCAGCAGGCAAGCGGATTTAAAATTTTACGTGTCGACATTACCGGGCCGCATGCAAGATGGATGGATGGAAGCCGCGAGAACAACCCCAGCCGGGCTAGCACCTAGCACTAGAGGGCACGAGCTGGGTGGCTTCAACTGATAGACTCGGTTCACCACCACCTCCCAGGTGCTACGACTCAGCAGCCACAGTCTCCCACCACACAGCGAGCAAGACGCAGCCCGCAGCCCGCAGCCCGCAGCGCAGCCTTTCCTCTGGGTGTTTTTGCTTGTTCCGGGAATCACTCGTGTGTCCGAATCGGCGGGGCGACGGCTTATAAATCGGCCGTCTGATGCATGAGCGGCGCGTCGCTGCTTTACACCCTTTGTGCAGTCTAGTCCCCTCGTTCTTGGGCGGTTCAACGGGGCCGCCTGGCCAGGCCAAGACGCGCGCATTGCAGATCTAGACCTGGGCCCTCTTTAGTCTCCTGCGTATATACCTACCTACCTACCTACCTACCTACATACATACATACCTCACCTATCCGGTCGCTTGCCCTCCCCCCATCCTGTCTGACTGTGCACATTTGCCCGCATCGGCGAATGGATAATACCTGTCCAGCCCCCCGAGGCCGGCCGTTGCTGAGCTGGACGCAGGAGCCGACGAGTCATCGGGAATAGCACGGCAAGGCGGCCGGTTCGCGGAATGCAACCATTGACCCTTGGGCGGCCGGTTCGCGACGGCTGCCACCGGCCCCTGATATCCCTCCGTCGGTGCTCGGCTCTCCGGTCATCGGACCGCGTTTGTGCCTCGGCGATGGTAGTCCATCCCGCAATACGCGCCAAGGACCAGCGTGGAACTGCTGCAACCATCATCCATGGGTCTCATCCATGGGTCTCATTCCACACCGTTTGAACCCATCATGTCACTGCCGGCTCTCAATAATCAAAAGGGACACATCGATTAAACCCAGCAACGCAATCCATCGGCCTACAAGCTTTGGCACGTGCAGTACTAATAAGTTGGAGTCAAATTACAAGTTCGGAAGATAAACCCAATCCCTCAAGAAATTTCATCCTGAACCACCATCGACGATGGCTCCATGAACCGGCGTCCCTGCGTTGGCGACTATGAACGCCTTCTTTTCCAGAGGGCCCCTTTTAAGGTAACAGTTGCCGGGGGCGCCGCCTGCCAAGGCTATCGTTTTGTTGGTCCATAGTGGAATGAAGCTGACACCGGCACAGGTTGCGTTCACGTTTGTTGTGCCAAAGAAGTCTGTGGCATATTTCGTATAGCCCGAGCATGAGTCCATGCACGAGTTGAAGTCCGGGGCGAACAAGGAGTAAAGGACGGTGCCGTTCACGTCCTTGTTGCACTGCATCGTGTACGTGGCGAGCGACAGCACTGGCAAGCCGAGCAAAGACGGGAAACACGTTAGCAAAAGCCTAGGTCGCCCGTTGGCATGGAGCCCGCGTATGGGGTACGGGTAACAAACTCACGCTTGAACGAGGTGTACGACTGCCCGCTGACGGAGGAAGAGTTGCTGGCGCAGCCGTTGTCGATGACGACGGTCTCGGGCCTGGGGCAGGAGGTGCCCGACGCCGCCGCGGGCGCCGACCCGGTGCCCGAGGGCGCCAAGAGGCCGGCCGCCGACACGGACGCCTGCAGCCTCTGGTAGCTGTCGCTGGCCTCGCTGGCCCTGCTCGCCTCGATCCCCGTCCCCGCGGCCAGGCCGATGACGCCCGCGGCCAGGACGGCGATGATGACGCTTAGCACGAATACGATCAGTGTGCAGCCGCACACCGTCCGGTCCGCCCCACCGCCGCCCCTCCTCTTCTCCTCGCCACCGCCGACGCCGCCGTTGCCGTTCTCGCTGGCTAGGTTGGCATGGCTGGCTTGGTAAGGGCTGTGGGTCGTGGTTGTCGGCGGCGGCGACGACACTGTTGGTGGGTACGTCGGCTTCGCATCTGGCGCGTAGTAAGGCTGCTGCTGTGCCTGTTGCTGCCCCTGCACATTGTAGACCTGTGGGTGCTGCTGCGGGACAGCCTCTGGGTACGACTGAACAGCGACCTCAGGGGCGTATTCGTGCTGTCGAGATAAAGCGTCATCGTTAGGGCCATTGTGAGCCTTCCAGTTGCCGATCCTACGCACGAGATAGCGTGCACACAGGGCGAGGATGGGCTCCACATACATTCGCGGCCATACTTGTTGCGACCCAGGCTTGGGGATCACGACACTCTCTTGGCTGTTTTCCTTGGCCTCACAGGCAAGAGCATGTACGTCAGGGCCTGTCGGTCGGAGGCTCGTTGCCTAGAAGAACCCACCTACACCAAGCTTACGCTAAGACATAGAAGCAGAGGGGAGAAGAAAAAAAAAGAGGACGAGGACAGAGCCAAGCGACAGGATGGGGGGCCTTAGTCAACCCACCCAAAGGAGGAGAGCAGGGGGGACCAGAACATGGGTGCCAAAAAAGCGATAGCCGCATGCGGGCGAATCCGAGCTAGGTCGCGTCCGAGGGGGGCGCGGTCGTCGAAATCCGCCCAATGGAAGCCAGCGGTTCATTTCCACACCTCTCATTTCCGAGTCTCCTCAGCCGCATTTGCGACTGGAAGATTTGACGATGGGAAACGTTCTGTAGGCCCCTAGGTGCCCACAGCCAGGAAATGGGCAATGGCAACGGCGTCATTCCGTTGTAACGGGCTCTAGCTCGGCAAGGCGGGAGCCTCCAACCTCCAGTACTTTGGTGCGCCAACGATTTGGTTCGCGATGGGTGAGGCAGGATGGAGTCCCCGCTTGATCCACGCGTTGGTTCGCCAATACCACGGCGGAAAAAAAAAATTAGGGATGTTGTGGATCGCATCGCGAGCGGGGGTGACATCCTCGAGAACAGCTGGGGTCTGGTGTTTTCATGGGGGCCTCCCACATCCGTCTTGACCAGGCTGGTGAGATAGCTCTCATTCGACTGGGCATAATGCCTCCCTGGTGCTGCTACGATAATAATAATAATAAATAGCAATCCTCCTGGCGAAAACAAAAGTTGGTGTTGGAGGGTGAAACCTGATTCGATTGCTAAATTGCATGGGGCGCTGGCGCTAGTGCTGACAGCATCAACAACGGTCAGCCCGGCATGGAAACACAGCCAAGGGCGACCGACGCAACTCTAGTTTGGTGGAGATATTCGTTGGCTTCCGCGCTTCCCGTCCCGTCCTCAGCTGGCAAGCTGGGTTCAGTCAGTATCGCCATACGGCTGTTTAGATGTGTCAAACGGCGTCAAAGCTCTTTCTCTACTGAGCACAACCCTTCTTCTGGTCCAACCAACCTACCCCCTGCGCCCGACTAATAGTGGAGTCGAGCTTGCTCAGGACAAGGGGTATGTAACAATGGATCTCATGTTCCCCTCCAGGGTCGACTGGTATGGGCGTCTGGTGCTTTTTGGTAAGTCTCTTGGCGTGCTGTAAGCTAGCGGCTTGCCATCCGTTATGCTTACCCGTCATGTTCCAGCCACCATGGAGGACAGCGAACCTGCTCAGGGCAGCGGCTCCGCGGTGACGTCGTTTCTCAACCATCACTCATCTTCCTCGTATTATCCAGACGACCCGACTATTTGAGATAACCATAATTTTCCACGCACACATTCAAACGGGAGACACTGACACTTGTTTCACTTCCCATCATGTCGCCAGCCGGCAGCCAATCCTCACAACTCACACACGCTCCTCGCAGAGTTACACGACAGCGGCTCCACAAGGATCCTCCTCCACTGGCCGTACCTAACATCAATGAAGATGCCGCCGAGAGGAAGAGAATACTGAATGTCCTAGCTCAACGCCGATACCGTTAGTTCCCTGAGCTTGATCGTTGGGAAATATAGTGGAGAAATCGACAAAAGACGTTGTGCAAACAGGTGCCTGGTAGACATACTAACTCGATAATAGGACAACGTAAAAAGCAACAATCCCCAGCGACAGAAGTGTCATCATTGGCCCAGGGGAATTCGTCTGCTCAAAGTGATTGTCTCCAAATCTCTCAGTCGGAGCCCGAGCAAGTAGGGGGTAGACAGACTCCCCAAGCTCGTGGGGGTTGCCATGACTTCCACGATGAGCTCGCGAGCACCGAGATCGACTTGCTGCCCAGAAGCCCCAGCATGAACAACAACGATCCATTTGGGATATTTTTTGGCAGCGATTGGATACTGGCAGGCTTAGACAATGTCGCAAGCACCACAGTGCCAACATCACAATCGTTCGGCACCAGCCAGAACGACCAAACGCCTATTCAAAACGGTGGGCTTGGGGATTTCGCCGTCGGCCCCTTGGATTTTACCGCCCTATCAGAATCCTCAGCCTCATCCTCATCCTCTCCGCTCGGCTCCCTCGGCTCCCTCGGCTCCGAGGCAGCCAATGTCGGGGGTGACAGCTTCTCGTTCCCTGATACATGCCTCCTCCCAGTTCAGGAGCTCACCCTCATCCGGGCGCTCTTGCGGATAGCCGACCGCCTGGGCTGCACGTCGACGATTTGGGACATCAAGACGCTTTCGCCGTTCAACGGGCCCGCGTCGGCGGCGACGGGTCTTCTTCCAGAGACCTGGCGCCCAACGTCGACACAAGCCGGGGTGCCGCATCACCCGGTCCTGGACCTGGTACCGTGGCCTTCTGCGCGCGACCGGCTGATTAACATTTTTAGTCTTCCGGAGTCGATGCGTCCTCCAAGTGCCGCGGGACCCCTGGGGCTAGTCCAGTTCGTGTGTCAGTCTCTCGCCATGAACTTCCTGCCTTTTCATCCCTTCCGTTTCTTTTCTATCAGCGTTCTAATACCGCGCCCCTCATAGATGACCTTGAGGATGCTTCAGAAGGGTTGCGTATGTACGGTGGCGACCCGTACGATGCAGAGTCTTGGGAGGTTGGCCAGACTCTGTTTGAGAAGTGGTGGTTTGTATTCGACCGCAATATCGTCAATCAGAGCAACCGCTGGAGGAGCCTCAGGGGTGCGAGGAAACTTAGACTTGAGGCAGCCAGCGCGAGGTCGAATGTTCCTGAGATGGTGTAGCTACCCGGAACTGTCAGTGTCAATGCATCATGGCCATAGAAAACGCGCAGTGGCTGGCCCGATTCAGTTGGGTGTCAAACTGCGGTCCGCACAAGAATGGAGCCAGTCATGAATCAGCCGGTAGCCATGTTCAAACTCAACAGCCACCAGACGGCTTTGCGTCGTTCGAACCTATCCAAATCAGCAAGGAACTCGTCCATCCAGTCGGCAGCGTTCGGCAGCCATCGCAATCCGGGATGGCGGCCCCCGCCTCCTTTCGTGCCGTCTGTCACCCGCCACCCATGGCTGCCACGGCTGCCACGGCTGCCACCGTCGACGGCCGCAGCATCGGAGCGGGAGGGGCGCCCGTCGAATCGGTTTTGGGTTGGTGTGGACCGCTGGACCGCTGGACCGATCTCGCACCTCCGTCTCGACGCTAATGATGCAAAACAGCGCTGCAGTGGGGCTTTTGTTTGGGCAGTCTCGTAGCTGTGGTGGGGGCCACAGTCCCATTCCCGGCTTGGCCCAACATTCATCAATGTTTGGGACCGACATGGAATGGAGGCAAAGGAAAGGGGACATGCTGGATTTTAGACGACGGTACAGAGTGGGAAATTGGGGCGGCAGCAGATTTGAGCATCAGTCAGTTTCGGGTGTCCGGTCGGGGGCTCTTGCAAGCTCCAACGGGCGGCTCCGCGGCACGCGGCCGTCAACGACAAGAGATGAGGCTAGAACCTGCTGCTGTCCCGCGCTCTGGCTGTATTGATCCATTCAGCTGCTGGACATGGACAGTGCGGGCCCCGTCACCGCCGCGGGGTACTGGAGCTCAATGGCGGGCCAGGGATGGATGGAGCTCAAGCTCACCGAATGTTCCCTGCCCACGCCACCTGGACCCAATAGAAAGAGCGAAAAACGCAACCTCCGCAGCCAGAGACGGCGGTGGTACTGGTGGAAAACAATGAAGCCCCAGCCATCGACGAGGCACTGCTAGCGACGTCTTTTGCTTTTTTTGTGCCTGGCTGCACCCTGTTCCCAGCAGAGCGTGCAGTGGCCTGCCGTCTTCTGCGAGTTGCCTCGATCGGCTAGACTAGAAACACAGCGTCTGCGTGCTACGCTGTAGGAAACCCAGACCGCCAGCACATACGGGGATCGACCGGCGCTGGGGTGATTCTAGGTACCTAGGAACGTGCTGGCTTGATGTTTGGGGTGTACTGACTGCGAGACTGCACCATCTCAACATCAGCCCGCGTCATTTTCAATTTTTTCTTTCTTTCTGTCCAACCTTCTTCTCCTCTCATCGGGTTCCTCACAGCCACAAAGCCAGGAACGAGACTTTCCTCCCCTTGGGCGGCATCTCTTCGGCGCGTGAAGGAGGGCGGGCATATGCTGCCGTAATTTCCAGACTGCAAGGTAAGTCCCAATGCTTTGTCTCGTACCTGCCGTCGAGCCAACACCGATGTCCAGCCAGCGGGTTCCGTTCAGTCCCATCTCTCCATCTCACCTCCCGCCTTGGACTGCACCGCCTGCTTGGCTTCCGGCACTATATCCTGTCGTGCCTGTCCAAGACCGCTTGTCCCTCGCCACCTCATCGCGCGTTATGCTTTGGAGCAGAGCCTTCATTCCTGCACTGTCTCGACAGGCTCCTGCGAGACAGCACACCAGACCGCCAGTTGGCATGACTCCAACCCTCATGCTGCCACCTTTCACCTTCACTTCACATCCCTTGGTCGCCTCAGCTTCCTTGCCTCGCTACCTGGTCACCAACCTTGCCGACCCAAGCCACACCTGTAGAGCACATGCCTGACGACCTTTTCTCTCGGGCGGGGCTCAGGGCGTATCCGTGCGTCTTAACATGACGTCTCGGGGTCCCTGCTCTCCGTCCGGCAGCAACATGCTTCCTTCTCATTTCTAGGCCGGCCCCGTCCGCAGCTTTCATTTCTGTCCCATAACACCTTTTCACACAGTCACCCCGATAAAAAAACGGGCGGACTGCCGCTCAGAGCCTGTGCTAACACACTGCCCCCGTCCCCTCTTGATCAGCCACATAATTAATACCCATCTGTCCATCACCACCTACCTCTCTATACCTTCTACATTCGCTTCTCAGAGGGTCCGGTACCCATAGGCCGGTGCGAAGCGAGTGGTGCTAGTGTTCTTCTTGACTCTCACGGTTCCTGTTTCCCTTCACCAGGACCTGCCCTCTGGGATACCCTTCAATATGCACATCAGGGAGATGTTGGCCGAGGCCGACAGGACCGGCAAGCCGTCCTTCTCGTTCGAGTACTTCCCGCCCAAGACGGCTCAGGGTGTGCAAAACCTCTACGACCGCATGGAGCGCATGTATCACCTTGGCCCTAAGTTTATCGACATCACCTGGGGTGCTGGCGGTCGCATCGCCGAGCTCACCTGCGAGATGGTCACCCAGGCCCAGACGTACTTCGGCCTCGAGACATGCATGCATCTCACCTGCACCGACATGGGTGTCGAAAAGGTCAACGATGCCCTCGCCAAGGCCTACAAGGCCGGTTGCACCAACATCCTTGCCCTACGCGGCGACCCTCCCAGGGACAAGGAGAAGTGGGAGGCTGCCCAGGACGGATTCCAGTACGCCCGTGACTTGGTCGCCCACATTCGAAAGACCTACGGCGACCACTTCGACATCGGCGTCGCCGGTTACCCCGAGGGCTGTGACGACAACAAGGACGAGGACCTACTGTTGGACCACCTCAAGGAGAAGGTCGACATGGGCGCTTCCTTCATCGTCACCCAGATGTTCTACGATGTCGAGAACTTCCTGCGCTGGGTTGGCCGGGTGCGTGAGAGAGGTATCACCATCCCTATAATCCCGGGTATCATGCCCATCGCAACCTACGCGAGCTTCTTGCGCCGCGCCAACCACATGCAGGCCCGCGTACCCGAAGAGTGGATCCGCCGCCTCGAGCCTGTCAAGAACGACGATGCCGCCGTCCGGATCATGGGGAAGGAGCTCGTTGTTGAGATGTGCCGCAAGATTCTGGCAGGAGGCATAAACCACCTCCATTTTTATACCATGAACCTGGCTCAGTCTACCACCATGATCCTCGAGGAGCTCAGCTGGCTACCCTCCCCGACCCAGCCGCTCAAGCAGGCTCTCCCGTGGAAGCAATCACTCGGTCTTGGGCGTCGTGGCGAGGACGTGCGCCCCATCTTCTGGCGGAACCGCAACAAATCGTACGTCATGCGCACGCAAGATTGGGACGAGTTCCCCAACGGCCGCTGGGGAGACTCGCGGTCCCCTGCCTTTGGCGAGCTGGACGCGTACGGAATCGGCCTGGTCGGGACCAACGAGCAGAATAGGCAAAAGTTTGGTGAGCCACGGTCTTTCAAGGACGTGGCCTCACTCTTTATCCGATATGTAGAGAAGGAAATCACCACTCTCCCCTGGAGCGAGGCCCCGCTCACGAGCGAGGGAGAGCTGATCAAGGACGACCTGCTGGACCTCAACCGCCGCGGCCTCATCACTATCAACTCGCAGCCGGCCGTCAACGGGGTCAAGTCGACCCATCCCGTGCACGGCTGGGGTCCGCCGAACGGTTACGTTTACCAAAAGGCGTATCTGGAGCTGCTCGTGCACCCGAGCCTGTTTGCCGACATGAAGAGCCGCCTGCACACCCACCCGGACCTGACCTACTATGCTGTCACAAAGTCCGGAACCCTGGAGACCAACGCCACCTACGAGGGACCTAACGCCGTCACTTGGGGAGTCTTCCCGGGTAAGGAGATTGTGCAGCCGACCGTGGTCGAGGGCATCAGCTTCCTGGCCTGGAAGGACGAGGCGTTCCAGCTCGGAATGGAGTGGGGTCGCTGCCACGAAGCCAACTCACCCAGCCGCGTCTTGATCCAGAAGATGATGGAGGAGTGGTATCTGGTTAATATCGGTAAGTGAACCGCTCCGGAAGCTTTTCTTGGTTTTGCTGCCTTCTGCAGTACCCACGGACAAAACAGCCTCCCCCGACTAACACACGCCTACTACAGTGAATAACGACTTCCACTCGCCACGCACAATTTTCGACCTGCTCAAGGACATCAAGGTCCCAGATCTTGAAAAGGAGGTTGCTATCCCGACCGACCAAGGGCCGGAGACGAACGGCATCAATGGGACCTCGGTCATCACCAACGGCTCCCACCCGGCTGCTCCCACGGCGACGGCCGCGGTTGCCGTCTAAAACCGTCGACCTCTCCGCCAACTTCCCAACTCTCCTATGAAATCACTTTTCACTTGCTTTTACCTTTCACTCAACATATTTAATCATCCACCACTCTCATGGGCGACGATAAGGCGGAGCGCATAACCTAGCCATCTGTACTTCTTCTTCGTATTCTTCACCTTGTCTTCACACGGGCGTTATTGGGCCTGAAAGGGCAAAATCTGGCTGCGAGCGAATTTTTTTCAACAAAAAAATGAGCATTTTCTGGAACGAACGGGATGGGGCTGGGGTTGGGCTGGGCTGGGCTGGATTGGCCTGGCAGAAACAAAAGAAAAACCACCAACACTAAGATTGCTGGCGGAAGCACGGGGGACGTAACCACAAAAGACGTCCGCCCACATGACAGAGCATGCATCATATCTCAACGATACCCACCCTTTTTGGACACCGAAATTCATGCCGGGACGATCGATGCATATTCTTACGCGTTTTTTTTCTACATTATTCTTCTTGTGCTCAAGGGTCCAATCTCTTAACTAGAGCGGACAGGAACGGTGGCGGATGATTTGGGGATGGGGTGTTTCTTCGTCGGGGCCGGGCTAGCCGGGGTTCCCCTTTCAACACGACGACGGGACGATAGAGGTGTTTTTGTTTACTTGTTAAATCCTCTTGCCTGCATGGCTACAACACAAAACAGACTGTTGCAGGCTGATAAATGCATATGTGCGCCAGCCATGGGTGTCATCCACGCGTTCAGACGTTTGAGCCAGACCATGTGACGCCACAAAGGGGTAAGATAAAAAAAAAAGGACGCGCAACCCAACTAACAATGCTTGCTCAACCAGTAGATAATGCCATAGAGCGTGCTGGCTCAGATGGTGCACAAACGCGAACCGAACAAGAGATAAAGACATTTGCCGTAAGACGGGTATCTCAAGGAAAGCCAGAAAAGATAAAGCATAAAAAATGCAAGTCAAAATGCGACAAGCCAAATAGTGCTTCGTTTCGTTGTTTTTGTTTGTTTCTTCAGTGTTCTCTTGAGCGCCTCAAAGATGCTTCTGGGGTCCTGGCTGATTTCCACCGCCCCAGACGTCGCCCATGTCCTCTTCGTCGATGTCGTACTTGGGCGATACGGCCACGGGCGACTGGGCCTCCCTATCCCAGTGGCCCGCGTCCTCCGCCGCCGCCGCGGTGACCGAGTCTGTTCCGCCATGGTTCTCGTCGTCGTCGGTAGTTGGCGCCTTGGAGACGTCTATCGGGATTTCGGACAGGTCGGGCTTCTCGGCAGCCTGAACTCCAGGTCGGCAGGTTCCGCGTGGCGATGTTGCTCTCCCAGATTCGGTTGACGCCGTCTGTTTTCCTTTGTCCTTCTTAGAGGTCTTCTTCTTGCTGCTGCTCACAATAACGCCCTCGTCATCTGCCGAGGCCCCTGCTGCTCCGCTCGAGCCACCAAGGGGGCTGGTCTTTGGCTTTTTCTTTTTCGGCCTTGCGACATCAACGGCTAGGGAAGACCTCGTCGGGATCGAATCACTTGAGCCTTGGTAGCTACTATTCCGGGCCGTGTTCCAAGGCCTTTGGGGAATGTTGGCGATTACAACAGGGTACTGCATGTCATGTGTTAGTATATGTGACCGAGCCTGGCAAACCCACCATCTCTGGGATAAGAAAACTCACATTCCAGTCCCCATACTCTAGCCCTCGGGCCTTGTCATACAGGGCCTCCTCGTCCGGGTCCAAGGTAGGATCCTCGGTTGTACCGAAAGTATCCCTAGAGCTCGACCGGCTGGGCTCGCCGTTGGATGTGCCGCCACTGGGTCCAAGAAGGGGCGTGTAGGGGTTGATGTCTGACGTGATCTGGCCAGGCTTGGGGATCCAGTACTTGCCCTTGCCGCCACGCTCGTACCTCATGCCGGCGCGGACTCGAGCAAGGCGAGAAGTGGAGCTTTCGTGTGCCATAATGCGGTCACCCGAATCGAAGGCGCGGTAGCCATATTTATCGCCCTTGAAAGTCTCTTTCGAGTCCTCGATCAGGTCGCGAATACCAAAGGCGTCGCGGAGGGCGTACTTGACGGGCATGCGTGCCTCCTCCACGGAATCATTGGCAAAGTCGCGCCACGAGAAGGCGTACCAGTGAGCAACGGCGAAGCATGGCATCTCGAGGCAGATGAGGAAGTCCTGGATCGCAGCAGCTAAATTGTCGGGCGAGTAGCCCTCGACTTTGTCCGTGATGGCACCCAGGAACACGAGGATTGATAGGAAAAAGCCCTGCCAGTAAGAGGCAAAGATGATGAGTTTGATGCAGAGAAACTTGGGCACAGGCCGGAAGGGCTTGAGGTCCTCATGCATGCAAACCCAGAACAGGGCGAGGCAGTACAAGCTGACAGTCATGCTGATGTTGTAGATTAGGCCGCTCCAGGTGTAGCCAGAATCGAGGCCGATATAGCCCTCCTTGTAGGTCCCTGTGGCCTTCATGACGATAGCGGCCACCGCGAGTAGCGGCTTCAACCACGCATACTGGAGGATACCGCGCTTGATGGCCAGGAAAGTATAAGGGTCCGAGATATCGGCCTTGGGGAAGAGGTGGTCCATGGGCCACGCGTGGCTCACTGGCTCGCGGCCGTGTGTCATGATGATGAGCGATCGCTCGCCGCCGAGGTAGTTGATGAGGAGCTGGAAGAAGGTGTAGATGGTGAAGGCCTGCGAAGGGATTGGTTGGCTTGGTGAGTTTGCGGATGCGGAGCGGGTGGGGAGGGTTGCCTGCCTACCTCATAGATATCTCGCACGGGATCGAACCAGGCGGCCAGCTTGAGCGATACCATGCTCGACCATGATGAGATAGAGTAAAGGGGCACCCTGGTGGCACGTCTAGTTAGAAACGCCGCTTGTCCATGCTTCGCTCATTTGGGCTCGTTTATCCGGATGGGGATGGTGTCCATACATCAGCAGGATGCGCACGACATATCTCTGAAGGAGTGGCTTGCGATAGTTTTTGCTGTAGAAGAGTTGTTTAGTCGGGCCCGTGAGGTGTCGAGGAACGGCCGGGAGGAGCAGCTTACAGTTGGAGCCATATCGAGCTGTTCAGGAGCAAGAATACGGAGTCTTTTGGTTAGCACAGCGCAAGACAGTCGGCGGAAAGCGACAACAATGCGCCAAAGGCAACTTACATGATAGAAAAAAAGGTGGCGATGAGCGAGGCGACACCGGCCACTGCCGTGAGGGTGCTCTCGAGCTTCTCGCCCGTTCCTCCTCCAGGCATGATTGTTGTGGTCTAGACCCGAGACGGCGGAGGGATGGCGGCAACGACGAGCGTCAGGGCGAGGGCAGGGCAGCTATATGAGCCAGAGCCATGCCTTGGTTGAGGGGGACAAGAGGAGGGGCAGGCTCCCCAGGTTGGCAGCAGCGCAGCGCTGGCTGAGTTTGGATGGGGACGGGGTTGGATGTCTCTAAGGCGTCAATCGTGACGGGCGGCGTTGTTGAGCTCGAGCCGAGATGACGCGCACTTGGTGCCATTGTCTCCCCAGGCTGTCGCTGCAGGTGGCCAATCGTAGGGTCGGTCTGGGAGCTGGGGCCCCGAAACCGCAGGCATTGAGGGCGGGGCTTATCGCCTGCAGTGCAGGGCTGTGGTCAACTGGCGCCAGCACCTCTAGGGCGAGCTGGGGCAACCTGGAGAGCGTGCGCCTGTTTTTGTCTCGGATTACGAGCGCTGTGCATGGCTGGAGGGGGAATATGTCACGGCAGTTTCATACCACCTGGTGAGGCATCACGTACAGTTTTTGACGCACGTGTCGGCATGCACAGAGAATGCGCCTGGTACCATGTCCAACGTGTGGCTTTGAATTATGTGAGGAGCCCAGCCTCGCCAGTGGGCGTAAATATTGGTGGATACGTTGGGGTTCCCGAATTCTTTATGCAAGATGCAGTCCGCGTGGACCCTGCGATCCTTGTCACCGGCGATTTGCTCTGCCGATTCGACGTGCCTTGGAGCTGCACAGGCACAGGGGACGAGTTGGAGCTCCTACGTAACCAATGCCATCACTCAATCTTCAACTTCGTCGCTCTGAAAAGCCGCCATTGCTAGCCCGCCCTAGCCCTTCCAGCTCGATTGCTCGCCCCTGCTCCGAAGAGTGTCCCGAGGCCTAGTCCCAGTCGCTGTCGCAAACACGTGAATTATCCAACCAACTTCGGTGGTCGATTTGGCGGGTGGTTGCTGCGACACCATCATGGCAAGCTCGACGTCATTGCTACGCTGAACGAGCAGCCAGAGCTGGAGCTGTCGCGCATGGTGGAAGGCCGCTTCTCGAGAAGATGGCAGGCCAGGTCCGGGATGGCGTCAACGGGTATGGCTCTCGCCAAGAAGTCCTGGGCATGCTGCTGTTGAGACCACAAGCTGACTAACCGACTCCTCCGCCTCCGCCGCCCAGCCCGTTCATCGCGTCGATGACTGTCGCCGCCCTGCTGTGCGTTACCACTCGCCCCCCTGACGTCCCCGGTCGTGTGTCCTCCCTTCCCAAAGCCTAACCCGCCATGTCTCGGCCAGGTCCATATTCTTCGTGCTCTACTTTAACCGAGTGCTGGCATCAATAATATCATGGGCGCTACGGGCCTACACCTGGCACCAATACCGAATATACATCGATATACAAGCCCTGCAGGTCTCTTTGCTCGCGGGCCGCATCTTCTTTACGGGCCTACGGTATCACGGCAACAACGAGACGATAGTCATTCAGCATGGCTACATCACCTGGTCGTATTGGCTAAGGAGGGTTCGCTCCGTCAGCATTGAAAAAGGGTCGGCGGCGCATGAGAAAGAGAAGGGCAAAGGCCATACGGATGAGGCAGGGCAGGGCAGCATCCCGAATCCAAATGGCAGCCCTGGCACATCTCGCGTCCCTTGTCGGGTCAACGTCTCGCTTGTCGGGCTGGAGTGGTTCGTGTACAACCGCAGCCCCGCTTACGACTTCATCCTCAAGGGGATCGTGGACGACGATAGCCCGAGTTGCGAGCCCAGGCCAACCACGCCCGAGAAGCCACGGGAACCCCCCGGGACAGCATCCACAGACACCAGAGGTAATGATGAAGGTGGACTGCTGCGGAGGAAGCGCACGCCCCCTCCGGACCATGTCAAGCAATCCCGCCCAGACAATGTCCGCTCCAACCCGGGTAGGGATGCCCAAGGGAGCGATGATTCTGGCGACGGCTCGATGGCCCCTGAAGATGAGCTGCCGCTGCCGCTCCAGCTATTTCCAATCAATATAGCCTGTGAGAAGGCTGCCTTGGTCATGGGCAACGAAAACACCAAGGCAATCTTGACAATAAAAGCCGACGGTCTCAATGGCGAGGTTGATGCATCTGCAACAGAAACGGTCGATCCGTACCGGCAGATATTCAAGATCAAGTTCAAGCACCCCGTAGTCGAGTTCAGGGACAACGAAGACTATAGGGAGGATCAGGCCAACAGGGCTACGAGGGAGAAACACCTTGCCGAGGCCATGGACCCAGGACCTAGGCAGTCATTGTTCAAGAGACAGAGGCGGAAGATCTATGGTCAGCTCCGTAATCTTGTGCCATACTGGAGGACCTCGGTCGAGTCTTTTTCGGTCGATTCACGGGCTAGTGGCCTCGGCACTGCAGCGACCACAATCCCTGGCTCTAGCCATTGGCAGGGCTTGTCGAGGTATCTCGACGATCGCGATGAAGACGAGCGGACGCGCTGGTCAGCAATCGAGTACGCTGCTGTTCCGACAGTTATTGACAGCCCCGAGGCCACGTTGACCCTGTACTGGGACGCCGTTGGCAAGGTTACCAGTCGGCCCGCCTTGGTGCGCGAGAAGGGAGCAGGCTACACATCAACAAATATCAACGGGGACGAGCCCCCAGCATGGGGAATTGGTCTCTCTATCAGAGGCGGCACGGTCAGTTATGGCCCTTGGACCGACAGGCTGCGGGCGGATCTCCAACGTGTGTTTTTTCCTGGGCTGTGCAAAGACTCTACTCCCGCACAGCCGCTTCCTGTTGGGGCCTGGAGGGTGCCGACCAAGTTCAAATTTCTTGTCGAGCTGGATGATGAAGTTGCGCTTCGGATTCCCACACGCGAAGAGTCCAAGAACTGGCGCTACAAGGGCCAAAACATGGGAACCTCGACCGTTCGTCAACCTGAGGCGAAACGTAAGGCCCGCGGTAAGTTGAAGAAGGCAGATGCGGCAACGCCAGCACAGCGACGGCCATATGGCTGGCTCGACCTCAAGATTTCGGGCAACGCCACGATTGCCTTCACTATGGACATGGTGGCAGGTGAGGCAGGGCACGCAATGGATCTGCGTGTTGACCTGCCTCCAGGGGCCGAAATCTCGAGCAGTGTGAACCACGAGCTTTTCTGGCGCTCAGGTGGGAGGACGCGAGTTTCGTGTGATCTCTCCTCCCCACTCAAATGGAACAGCCTCAGGCAGTGGCGCTTCGATATAGACTGCCAGGATCTCGAGTTGTTTATCCTCCGCGACCACATCTTCCTCATCACCGACCTGATTGATGACTGGGCCACCGGACCCCCCGCCGACTACATGGTCTTCACGCCGTTCAAGTATCATCTCGATCTTCACTTTCGCAATGTCAGAGTGTACCTCAACATCAACGATGCCAACATCATCAATAGCCCTACCGACTTCGACGACAACACCTTCATCATCCTGTCAAGCCCGCTGCTCGAAGTTGGCACGTGCATTCCTCTCGATAAGTTCAGGCCCCCGCGCAGCGTCGTTCCGTTCGACGTCAAAGCCGAGGCCCTTGCTCTCGCGCTCCATGTACCTCCCTGGAACACCCAGGCCGCATTCCTTGCTTCCAAGGATCTCGGCACGCTGGAGAATTTTGACCTCAGCGGCGCCTACCACTACAACACCACCACCGCTCTCGGCAACACCGATACTCTGGTTCTGAACATCAGCGGCCAGTCTCTATGTGTGACTCTTTATGGCTTCCTCATACGTTACTTTCTCAAACTCAAGGATAATTACTTCGGTGAAGACATTCAGTTCAAGACCCTGGAAGAGTATCAGGAGCTCCTCCGCCTCAAGCAGCAAAACCCCGACGCAGAACTCCCAAATAAGCCACCGTCGAAAAAGTCCAACGACCTGGATGTGATCCTCAGCGTCAGAGCTGATGACCCAAAAGTCCTACTTCCTGCCAATCTGTATTCATCGCAGAAGCATATCCAAATCGACACTGCTGGTGTTGAGGTGGATCTCCGCTTTACCAACTACTATATGGACCTTGATCTGATCCTGGCGCCCCTAAGTCTCTCGCTCGGAAAGGAAGCCGGGGGAGCGGACACTCCGATTAATGCCACATCTAGCACGCAACTTTTTATCGATGGCCTGGCTGTGTATGGCCATCGTCTCTTTGGACTTCCACCCGTGGAGCCCACATATCTGTGTAACTGGGACATATCGACTGGCGCAGTGACTGGGGAGTGCACCGCAGACTTCCTCGTCGCGCTCATGAACGGAGGCAAAGCCTTTCTCCTATCGTTTGACGACGAAGAGAACGCTCTGGTGTCTGCTTTGGCCCTCAAAGTGTACGATGTCACGTTTTTGCGCGTCTTCGTTCAGTCCGTTCGTCTCTGGCTTCACGTAGAGGAGGCCGCGTTTCTACTGTCGACTGAGTCCATCGATGTCAAGTTCAATGACTGGGCCAAATCGCATTATTCGAAGCGCGCCAACATCAACGTTCCAGGGATCGAGATTGCATGCGTCAACTCGGAGTCTGCCCTCCGTCACAAGTCGAGATCCCAGCTTCCGGCCGAGGCCGAGGCCATTATCAGAACGAGCGTGCATCTCGCCATAGTGGGCCGCAAGGCAGAGTTCACCAAGAACCGCGAGATGCAGCAGGGGCTCTTACGGCGCGAAGACCAGCGCACCCAGCGAACCGAATTTCTACTTCTTCCTGAGCTGTTTGGGCCATTCGAGCCGGACCCTGTCGACCCGACCTCCCAGCCAGTTCCGCCGATACCTCAGCCCACTCTCCCAGGAGACTTCCAGTCTGTTAGGGGCGACAGGGCGTCACTCGCATCCAAGGGCACATCGCGGAGGGCTCGGAGACTGCAGAAGAAAAGCTCGTTTCTCTCCCTGTCGAGCTCCAGCAGCTCCAGCACGAGGAGCATTGTTCGCCCGCACGTCTCTCGCCAGTCATCTAAAAGATCAAGCCTGCAGTCCAAACACCACGGCCAGCTCCAACCCCTCACCAGGCTCGACCAGGAGCGGACGGGTAGCACGGCAAGGCATAAGCGCGAACTATCTGCCTCTACAGGGCGCCATTCCGATTTTCACAGCGCTTTGGGGGATTATAGTGACCGCCGCGACAACGACCACAACACCGTTGCGTTCTCTAGCCAGTACTTTGCACCATACTTCCCCCTTGAAGCCGTTGCCATTGACACGTCCAATGCCGCATTCCCCAGCGTTGAGACGAGCAGTGAAGGTGGCAGCGCTGACACTACCGAGTTCAACCTTGGCGATATCGACCCGGAAATACTCAATGAGGATCGCACCCACACCAGCATCCTGGTCGAAACGCCTTCAGGTGTCACTGCCTCGCTAAACCCAACCTCCGTGCGCTATATCGCGGCCTTGCTGACGGCTATACAGCCGACCGAGCCCGAGGACATCTTGGACGCATTGCAAATTGGTGCCATGGGCGGCATCATGGATTTACACAAGGACCAGGTGTCAAAAGGCAGCATCGATGATATTGTTCTGAGAATTCCCAGAGCAAACCTACGCTTCGTCAGCTCATCGTGCCTCGACTCGCCGCTTCCGTCACACGATGAGCAAGATCAGTACGACATTTCCCTGACGAAGCTAGCCTTGGCTGTGCGCACTGAGAGTAGCTGGGAGGATGCATTCAAGCCGGAGACCAGACATGTACGACACTCGTTCCACACAAGACTAGGGTCTATCGAGGTTTCCGCCTCCGAGAAGCTTAGAGATGCCGAGAACGTGCAGTGTGCGGTCTCTGGTAAAGTTGAGCACGTTATCGTCTCTATGGGTTCTCGGGACGTCACCTACATTGATGCCGATATCGGGCACATCCAAGGGACCGCATCCTCGGACAAGATCGAGTATATCGCGTCGCTAGTACACCGTACAGACCGACTTGCGACCGAACTGGGCCGCACCATCTCCAATGCTGCTGGCAGAGAGGACCGAGTGCTGAAATCCCTCATCTGCAGTCTTGCGGCCCAGGGTCTGGGGGCGCCAGACCCTAGCTTCATTGTGCGGCCATCGGCAACTCTCCGCTCTGCCGACCAGCATCTCCGCACGTTCGACTCGTGGAAGCTCGCCATGCGTCTGAGACAGATATGGGCCACGATGAACGACAGTGCCAGGGAGGAGATTAGACTGCAGAGCCTAGGAGGCAATGTAGAGGCTCCTGCCAACGCACGGCAACAAGTGCTGGCATACTTCCAAAAGTGGAGGAGCTGGGATCTAGAGGATCTGGCCAAGTCAATCCTCATGAACAAAGTGTTCGGGCGGCTAGAGAAGTTGCCCGACCAGACAACTCCAGAGCCTCCTCTCATGGCTGTTCTCCGAATTCACCAATTCCGTCTAGCTCTGGACCCTGGACCGAAGCAGAATGAGGTTGCATTCGTCGACCTCACGGCGAGGCTACAGAGGGGTGCCAACGCGGGCGACGCTGGTCCAGCAAAAGCGGCGGATGCAAAGGCACCCACGGTGCTTGGTATCGTGTGTGGAGACGCGGTCATATCCCTCAATTGGGAACTGTGTGAGCTTGCAGACGACATCCTCCGGCTCTATAAGAAGCTGCAGCTCAACAGTGGAGTAGCTGAGCTGCCGCAGGAAGCTGCGGTTGCGTCGATTGCCAAGATCGACACCAGTGCTTCAGCACCCCAAGTCGGCACTGCTTCGAAGGCTGCTACCGCTGAGGTCATCCAGGTTGTTCTCGAGGTAGATCAGAGCGCCATCGTCATAGACACCATCAACTTGAACACCAGGGTGTCAAGCATGGGGCTCAAGGCTTCCCTTCTCACGGGCCACGGCATCGACGGCTCCTCCGACACTAACTTCATCCTTGGTTGCGATTCGTTGACGTCGAGAATCCGGAGCCACTCGCAGGTTATTACGGTATTCCAGCTAGACCGGCCCAGTGTGTTCTTCTCACATGAGCTCCAGACCTCACATACCATCAACTCCCATACTATCAAAGCCACGGGCACGAGCAATGGGCTGTCCCTTGCCATCAAGCAAGATCCCATAATGCTGATGGAAGTATTGGATCTTGTCATCAAGGACGAGGTTGCTCGGCTCTACGCATTGAAACGCCAGCTCCCTACACCTTCAACAGCGCCGTCATCGCCCGTTCCGTCATCGCCAGTGTCATCCAACAAGAAGATCGCAGACAGGCTGTCCAACTTCAGGGTCAACATAGCTCTATTCCTCAACGAGTACAGCATCAGTCTACCTCTCCTGCGGTCCTTGACCTACACCATCTCGGGAGTAGTCGCACGTGCCGCCGTGGCTGCCAACTCTGGAAGGGAAATTATCTTTGACTTTGACGTCAAGGAAAACTCCCACGAGATGCAGATAAACGTGGACAAAGCGCCTCGGAGCGTTTCCTTGTTGCAGATTCCTCCCACCAACGGCCGCATCACGAGCCTAATTGGCCAAGGCGACAACACGACCACCGTGTTCGCCTCCGTCGAGCCCATCCTCCTGGACGCCTCAGCTGTCTACAGCTTGCTGTCTGCCCTCAACCGGCCAGAGATCTCCAGCACCCTCAACGACATCCAGGAGCAAGTACAGATCATCAAAGATCATGTCGGCGAGATCTTTGACGACGGGCCTGAGGTTGTGCCGACTAACGAGGCGGTCGAGACCAAACAAGGCTCAGGCCAGCCCTTGGCATACTCGGTTCATCTCACATTCGCTGGCCTGGAAGTTTTCGGAGACGCCCCTCTTAGATCTGAGCATGAGCCACTCGCCCGCCTCTGCTTCTTGCTCGACCGCATACATTTCGAAGTGACGAACAAGGCTGACCAGCACAACCGTGTCCTGGAAAATCCCGAGGTACACTTCAACCTCCGCAAAATCGCGTTTGAGATCCAAAAGGGCAAGCCAGGGGCCATGGCCAGCTGCGGAAGCGTGGCATTCGGGGCGCTCGTCACGGCAACAACCAGGGTTCTGGAAAGCGGCAGAGAGGAGCGATCGCTGAATGTCAGCAGCAACGGCTTCAATGTTGTCCTCTCGCCCGAAACAGTGTCGACGTTTGTGGACTCGCTGGGATACATGGGAGACAAGATCAAGGACCTGGACACGTCTCGGGAGCGCGAGTACCTCCGAAAGCTGCGGCAGAACAGGCCGCGGATAGCGATCAACGACGAGGAGGCAGATGACGAGTCGGACATCATCGAGTCCTTCTTCACCTCGATGGTCTACTCGTTCGAGATCCGTGACATCCAAATCTGCTGGCTGGTACTGGGGCCTCGGCAAGAACCGTCACACGGCAAAGAGGATCTCGTCTTCACGCTCCAGAGGATCGAGTTTGGAACACGAACGAGGAACTCGGCGCGCCTCACAATTGAGAACCTTCAGGTCCAGATGATGTCACCGGCTCAGGATCGGAAGATGCGATCACCCAATTCAGCACTTCTCCCCGAGGTTGTATTCAGTGTGGCATACGTCTCAACCGCCGAGGCGAGGCGCCTGGCCTTCCAAGCCGTGGGCAAGTCGGTCGATATCCGCCTGACATCAGGCTTCATTGTCCCAGCGGCCAACCTGAATCGCTCCATCTCACTGTCCGTCAAAAATATACAAGAGGCATCCGAGAACTGGGTTCCAACAACGCCGCGGCCAGATGCAGACCAGGCCAGTCCGCAGGCGCAGGAGGAGGTCAAGAAGCCGGCGCGCACCAGGTCGCTCCTGGGCAGCAAGCGGCTCGAGTCGCTACTTGTTGACGCAGACTTCGCTGGTGCGGTAGTCCACATCAGCGGCAAGAAGGCGGCCGAGGACTGGATGCTGTATCAAGGGCAGGGCAAGCATGGCCAACTTGGCCACGATGAAACCAGCAGCGGCACCGTGCTCAGAACGCCAAACCTGGCACTCAAGCTGGAGTATCGAGACAACGGCAGCGACGACCCCTCGGTGTATGCAGAGACCAAGATCGGCGCGTCGAGCAACACGCTCTTCCCCTCAGTCGTGCCCCTGATCATGGATATCACGGACAGCATCAAGGAGGTGGTGAGCGATGACAAGGGAGGCCAGGTCCACACCCCAGAGCGCGCGCCCAGTGCTGGGACAAAGGAAGAGCCCAAGCCCGAGGACAGCATCCTTCTCACCGCAGATCCGACTGCCGTGCTAGGCCGCGTCAAGCTGAACCTCGGCCTTCGCATCGACCGGCAAGAGTTCTCGCTCAGCTGTCAGCCAATTGCCCGAGTGGCGGCCACGACTAGTTTCGAGGACATCTACTTCACCGCCAACACAGTCCGCTCGGTGGAGCAAGGAAACTTCCTTGCCATATCCGGGGCGTTCAGCAACATCCAGACATCGGTTCAGCATGTGTACTCGCGCGAGTCGACGGGCAGTTTCGAGGTGGACTCGATCGTCCTCTCGCTGATGAACAGCAAGCACGTCAGCGGCATCAGCGGTGTGTCCGCCATCCTGAAGGTCAGCCCTATGAAGGTGGCTATCAACGCCAAGCAGCTGCAAGACTTCTTGCTCTTCCGCGAGATCTGGATGCCCCGCGACTCGAGAGCGGCTGGAAGCGCACAGGACACATCAGCGTCACCGGTGGCAGCCAAGCTGCTGACGGAGACATCACAGGGCCACCTAGTGCAGCGGTATCAGCAGGTGGCAGGCACAACGGCATTCCCTTGGACCGCCACTATCTCCATCAGCGCGCTCGATATCAACGTGGACCTTGGTCAGGCGATCGGGAAGTCGGTTTTCTCCATCACGGAATTCTGGATCTCGTCCAAGAAAACGTCGGACTGGGAGCAGAACCTCTGCCTCGGGTTTCAAAGGATCGGAGTGGACAGTGCAGGACGCATGAGCGGCTTTGTGGCCATGCAGGACTTCAAGCTCAGAACGTCAATCCAGTGGCCGGAGCGGGAGCAGGCGCTCAACGAGACACCGCTGGTCCAAGCGTCCATTGGCTTCAGCCAATTCCGAGTCAAGGCGGCGTTCGACTACCAAGCCTTCCTCGTAGCGGACATCTCCAAGATGGAGTTCCTGATGTACAACGTGCGACGCAGCCTGGACGGCGGCGGCGACCGGCTCGTGGCGAGCTTCGACGGCGACGCGGTGCAGGTCTTTGGGACAACGTCGTCGGCGGCGCAGGGGGTGGCGCTGTACCAAGCGTTCCAGAAGCTAGTGCAAGAGCGGCGGACCAACTTTGAAGCGTCGGTGCGGGAGATCGAGAAGTTCACGCGCAGGCGGTCGTCGACAATGCCAGAGGTGGTCAAGAGGCTTACAATACCCAAAAAGAAGGCGGACGAGGACGGCCTCTCCAAGGCGCCCATCTCGCTGGACACTGACGTGGTGGTGACACTCAAAGCACTCAACCTGGGTTTATTCCCCAGCACGTTTGGCGACACCCAGGTGTTCAAGATGGAGGCGCTCAACACGCAGGCCCGGTTCGCGGCCAGTGTGCGCGAGCATCGTGTGCACAGCATGCTTGGTCTCACCTTGGGACAGCTCCGGATCGGACTTGCAACCGTCAGGCACGACGGCCTGGACAGTGGCCCCCGCAGCGGCAAAGGATCAGGGGCAGCAGCGAGCGATATGTCGGTAGAGGATGTGGTGCTGAGGGCGACGGGATCTCGAGGCGGGACTATCCTTAAGGTGCCGCGGGTGGAAGCCATGATGCAAACTTGGCAGCACCCCTCGTCGCGCCACATCGAGTACATCTTCAAGAGCGCTTTCGAGGGCAAGGTCGAAGTCGGGTGGAATTACAGCCGTGTGAGCTACATACGCGGCATGTGGGCCAACCATTCCAAGACGCTGGCACTAGCCTCGGGCAAGGAGCTGGCGCTGCCGGCGATCCGGGTCACAGGCATCCCCGGGTCATCAGACGGGGGCGGCGGCGACGGCAAGGGCAGGGACAAGGGTGGCGACGAAAAGGACGAGGCGGCCAACAAGATCACGGCCGAGGTGCACGTCCCGCAGAGCAAGTACGAGTACACGCCGCTGGAGCCGCCCATCATCGAGACGCCGCAGCTCCGCGACATGGGCGAGGCGACGCCGCCGCTCGAGTGGATCGGGCTGCACCGCGACCGGTTGCCGAACCTGACGCATCAGATAGTGATCGTGTCGCTACTTGAGCTAGCCGGCGAGGTGGAGGACGCGTATAAGAGGATCCTGGGCACTTCCTGAAGCGGAAAGCTCTTGCTCTACTTTGATTTGATTGTTTTTCTTATTTTTCACTTCCCTCTTCTCCTGGCTCTCTACGTGCTATCCAGGCTTATCATCATAATCTCGGTATGACAGCTTGAGTCTGACTCCGTCGTTCGTTTTTTTTTATCACGACTTGACGGCGTTCAGGGGTTTTGGGTGTCAGGTGAATCGCGCTCAGGGGTTACTGCCCATTCACGGCAGGCTCGCGCAGGGATCTCCCCATTTTAATGGTGCACGTTGGAAAGCGCACGCACACAGCAGATAGTCATAGATAGATAGGTACACAAAAAGACATCATGTTTCCATATCCTTTTTTACTCAGTTGGCCAGTAATACCGCAATAACGGCAAGCAAGTGATGGGGGCTGGTCAACGGTTCGCCGACTGAGTCAACGGGGAATCGCATCCAGACCCTTTTGGCTTAGAGCGGCGCGCACGACGCCAAGGGGTGACGCAAAGCCGAAGCACGAGGGTGCCGACGCCAGCTAGGGCCGAGCCCTCAGTCAGAGCGCGCCAAAGAGCCAAGGCGGGCGGGGGTGTCTGACGCACCCACCCAGTCAAACGTCCATATTTTTCGAGCTTGGACGCACGCACTCTGCTCTCCTGCCAAATTGTGCCGGGAAAGGCGGGGTTCCACCAAAGCGCCTTGCGAATGTGGCAGGGGTGAGCTAGCCCCGCCATTGAACGTGAGGGACCAAACAGCAAAGAGAACAAGAAAAATAAATACAAATTGCGTGTCAAAGGAAGTGCAGCAGGGAAGAGAGGCTATGAGTGTTGTGCACCTTTCCAATCCCCGTTTTTCTTTTCATCATCCAACCCGTGTGGTGTATATATTGGCCTCCCCACGCCGGCTTGCCTGCTGTGTACGTCGGCTCCATTTGCGTGCTTGTTATCGGCTAGCTCTAAGAGGCAAAAGGCAGCTTGGTGTTGAAGACAGGAACGAGACTGCGACCTGCCCTCCCTCAACGTCGAGACGAGTCGCCACTTTATTTTCCATTTTTGTCAGCAGAGGAGAAAAAAGCAAAGCGGGACGGTCCTGCTGCAACCCCGCCGCGGCGCAACTCTGCTCTGGATAATAAAAATTTCTCCCACTTGGGTGCCCCGCTCCGCAACCTGTTCCCTCTCTCCTCTTTACACTCGCCAAACCACCGAGAAACCATTTTAGGAGCTGGTCGTCGAGCGACTACAAACCCGCCAAAATGGTGAAGTAAGTTGGGCCCTTTGCTGCTGCTGCTGCTGCTGCTTCTGCTGCTGCCAGTCCCCGACACGTACCCTTTGCCCTTCCCCTTACCTCTCACGGCGCGCTGTGGCCATGCCGCCAGCCCCTCCTCACCTGAGACGCGGCGCGAGCCGGGGTGGAAGAGAGAGAGAGAGGGGGGAAGGCTGGCAATGGCGATGGAGGCACTCGTGCAACCACCACTTGCTTTGCTTTCCATTTCCTTGGCCATATGGACCCAGTTCCCTTTCACACTTCCTGCCCACCCGCCCACTCCCTCTCCAACAGAAGCTCGGCTTGTTGCCTGCTACTTGCTCAGCCCATTCACCCCGGAGATAAAGAGCCTTAGGTCCGGCGCCCGTGCTAACATGCCTCTTCCAACAGCTGTATGTACATTCACCAAACATGACCCAGAGCTGTCTCCCTTTTGGGAGCGTGGTCGCTTTGCACGCAGCAACCGTGGCTCCCCCGCGACAGCCTGTTGCACCGCCCCTCCTCCCCAACTCCCGTCTCGCCTCCCCGATCCCCCGCAATACTTTGCAGTGATGGACGAGGGCGGGCGGCCGGGACGAAGTCGGGATGGGGTCGGCTGTGTCTGGTCGGAAGCCACCGCCGTGGGGGCCACGGTCTGCCGTCGCCAGCTAGCTGTCTGCTGTCCAGCTACATATGATACTAACCCACCTGCGCAACAGTCACGATTGACGAGATCCGGGCGCTTATGGACAAGCCTAGCAATGTCCGTAACATGTCCGTCATCGCCCACGTCGACCACGGCAAGTCGACCCTCACCGATTCCCTGCTGGCCAAGGCGGGTATCATCTCCACCGCGAAGGCAGGAGACCAGCGTGCGACCGACACGCGTGCAGACGAGCAGGAGCGCGGTATCACCATCAAGTCTACCGCCATCTCTCTGTACGGTAACCTGCCCTCCGAGGACGACCTGAAGGACATTGTTGGCCAGAAGGTTGACGGCAACAACTTCCTGATCAACCTTATCGACTCGCCCGGTCACGTTGATTTCTCCTCCGAGGTTACCGCCGCTCTCCGTGTCACTGATGGTGCCCTGGTGGTTGTCGACACTGTCGAGGGTGTCTGCGTGCAGACCGAGACCGTGCTGCGCCAGGCCCTTGGTGAACGCATCAAGCCCGTCATCATCATCAACAAGGTCGACCGTGCCCTGCTCGAGCTGCAGGTCGAGAAGGAGGACCTGTACCAGTCCTTCTCGCGTACCATCGAGTCGGTCAACGTCATCATCTCCACCTACCTGGACAAGTCGCTGGGTGACCTCCAGGTTTACCCCGACAAGGGTACCGTTGCCTTCGGTTCCGGTCTGCACGGCTGGGCCTTCACCATCCGCCAGTTCGCTGTCCGCTACGCCAAGAAGTTTGGTGTCGACCGCAACAAGATGATGGAGCGTCTTTGGGTGAGTTGAGCAGCTCTCCATCTCCACCTGCGCGGCCAGCCTGCCGGTCTCTAGTACCCTTGACTAACTCGCCTCGATCTTCCCAGGGCGACAACTACTTCAACCCCCACACCAAGAAGTGGACCAACAAGTCTACTCACGAGGGCAAGCAGCTTGAGCGTGCCTTTAACCAGTTCATCCTGGACCCCATTTTCCGCATCTTCGCGGCCGTTATGAACTTCAAGAAGGACGAGGTCGCCGCCCTTCTCGAGAAGCTCAACCTCAAGCTCGCCGTCGAGGACAAGGACAAGGAGGGCAAGCAGCTGCTCAAGGCTGTCATGCGCACTTTCCTGCCCGCTGCCGACTCTCTGCTGGAGATGATGATTCTCCACCTCCCCTCGCCCATCACGGCCCAGAGGTACCGTGTCGAGTCCCTGTACGAGGGTCCCCCGGATGACGAGGCTGCCATTGCCATCCGTGACTGCGACCCCAAGGGCCCCCTCATGCTTTACGTCTCCAAGATGGTGCCGACCTCAGACAAGGGCCGCTTCTACGCCTTCGGTCGTGTTTTCTCGGGTACCGTCCGCTCGGGCCTGAAGGTCCGCATCCAGGGCCCCAACTACCAGCCCGGCAAGAAGGAGGACCTTTTCATCAAGGCCGTCCAGCGTACCGTGCTCATGATGGGCGGCAAGGTCGAGCCCATCGACGACATGCCCGCCGGCAACATTGTCGGCCTGGTCGGTATCGACCAGTTCCTGCTCAAGTCGGGTACCCTGACCACCAGCGAGACTGCCCACAACCTCAAGGTCATGAAGTTCTCCGTCTCGCCCGTCGTGCAGCAGGGTGTTCAGGTCAAGAATGCCCAGGATCTGCCCAAGCTGGTCGAGGGTCTGAAGCGCCTGTCCAAGTCGGACCCCTGCGTCCTGACCTTCACCTCGCCCTCGGGTGAGCACATCGTTGCCGGTGCCGGTGAGCTGCATCTGGAGATTTGCCTGAAGGATCTCGAGGAGGACCACGCCGGTGTGCCCCTCATCATCTCGGACCCTGTCGTCCAGTACCGTGAGACCGTCCAGGCCAAGTCGAGCATGACTGCCCTGTCCAAGTCGCCCAACAAGCACAACCGTCTTTACATGGTTGCTGAGCCCCTGGGCGAGGAGCTGGCCGGCCTGATCGACGACGGCAAGATCACCCCCCGTGACGACTTCAAGGCTCGTGCCCGTATCCTGGCCGACGAGCACGGCTGGGATGTCACCGATGCTCGCAAGATCTGGACTTTCGGCCCCGACACCAACGGCCCCAACCTGCTGGTCGACCAGACCAAGGCCGTGCAGTACCTCAACGAAATCAAGGACTCCGTCGTCTCCGGTTTCCAGTGGGCCTCGCGCGAGGGTGTCATCGCCGAGGAGCCCATGCGCGGTATCCGCTTCAACATTCTCGATGTTACCCTGCACGCCGATGCCATCCACCGTGGCGCCGGTCAGCTGATGCCCACCACCCGCCGTGTCCTGTACGCCTCTGCCCTGCTGGCCGAGCCCGCCATCCTGGAGCCCGTCTTCCTGGTCGAGATCCAGGTCCCCGAGCAGGCCATGGGTGGCTGCTACGGTGTCCTCACCCGCCGTCGTGGTCACGTCTTCGCCGAGGAGCAGCGCCCCGGCACTCCTCTCTTCACCATCAAGGCTTACCTCCCCGTCCTCGAGTCTTTCGGCTTCAACGCCGATTTGCGTGCCGGTACCTCTGGCCAGGCCTTCCCTCAGTCCGTTTTCGACCACTGGCAGGTCCTGCCCGGTGGCTCGCCTCTGGACTCCACCACCAAGACCGGACAGGTTGTCCAGGGCACCCGCAAGCGGAAGGGTCTCAAGCCCGAGGTTCCCGGTGTCGAGAACGTGAGTGGCTATGATCCATCTCTTTGGCATTTCCCTGATTTATATGTCGTGAGACTTGCATGCTAACAAACCTCTTTCACCTCTAGTACTACGACAAGCTATAAACGGCTCTTGGTGGCGATGGTTGACGACACTCTCGATGCTCTCTACAGCCTCGCTCGTCGGATAGCTCTATTATTGACCATATATGGTCAAGGCCCTGCTTCTCTATTGTGACGAGCGGATGCGAAAAAAAGCACATTCGACTTTATGTCTCAGTGCGGGCCGCCAACCCGATTGGAGGATGGCGGGTGGAATATGAGCTATGAAGCGCGGGCACGTCGGCACTGACGTTCACTAGATACGGTCTGCTTGCCATGTAGAAATCTTTTATTGCGTTTTGATCACTTTGCCTGTTTCCGTCCGAATTCCCGTAACATGTGTGACCGTTTATTTCTCTTTTTTACCCGCTGGCACGTCTGCTGAGACAAAATACGGATCATCAATCCCGTCAAATTTCAGAGACTGTATATCTGTATTCATACCTCATCCGACGAGCAAGACTCTGCTGCCAGCTCGGGAAGAAAACATAGGCAGAAATCCCGCAAGTCCGTAGCCTAGAACTTGAATTTC